TTGTTCTTTTTTCCTTAGTGAAGAATATAGCTACCACACTTAATGTAGCTACGTGAAGCTTGCTAGATGTAGTTTTAATAGCTACTAAGAAATACATGTGGCCTCTGGTTTAATTTTTTTTCAAGGATTAAAGGATTGGTATTATAATAATTTATTTTTGCAATCATTGTCTAATATTCCTTTTTATGCATTGTTATAATTCATTTAACCACTAATAGGCTTTCAGCTGTTCCAGTTCCCTACTTTTACAGGTGAACATTCTTAGACATAAATTCTTGAGTATACTGCTGAATAAGTATTTAGGATAGATTCCAGGAGGTAGAATTACTAGATCTAGCAAATTACTTTCCAAAAAGCTAACACCGATTTGTTATTCCCCATGGATACTTGAGAATATATGTCTTACCAACTATGTTCTAGACGTACATTTTTTCATAGTTTGTATGTTTCAAATTTAATTGGGGAAACAATTTCTCATTTAGTTTGTAATGTAATAATGAGTATTTTATGTAGTGCAATGGACATCCTTAAGGAGTGTCTAGCCAGCTAGTGTCTTCTCTAAGAACTGATTCTTTACCCACAGGGTAAGTCCTATCACCTCCCTGGATTTAGATGATTGAACCAGTGGAGATCATGTGAACTAAGCTGGACTTGAGATTCTGTTCCTTGGACTCTTAGAACCTAGAGAGCCTAGCTTGAGCTGGTGATTGAATAGAAAGCCCTGAGAACTGTATGTTAATCATGCACAGATAAAGCAAGCTGCTTTCTAGAAAGAATGAGAAGTTGTCCTGCTGAGAAAGAATAATGAAAGCAGACTCTCTGAGAGACAAACCTCCAAAAAAGGAATGCTCTGGTGCTTTTTAGCTTTCCAATTCCTGCTTCTGGCCCCCGGTGGGATCCTGCTATGTCTTATCTTGGTTTATATAAGATAGCATCATATCCCTCTTTTTCTTCAATAGCTCAAGTAGCTTAGCTAGTATCTCACACACAAACCTCTCCCCCACCAAAAAAAAAAAAAAAATCTTGCTAAACTGAACTTGGTACAAGTAGGATTATATCTAACAGGCCCTTGGAGAAAAAAATTATTCTGGCTAAGTAAATGTCATTGGGATTTACTAATAACCCACACACATATAACTTTTAAATGTAATCTTTGTATTTGAAGTAATCAGTTATAACTTGTCTTTGTCTTTTTGATCTGTATTAAGAGCATGGAGGCACAAAAGTAACAAGTATCTGGTTACCATATAGCAAGACACCAGAGTTTACTCATTTTTGCTACAGACAAAAAACAGATACTACTTGTTCTATGCATTCCCACACTGAGGCAGAGTAAGGAAAGCTAGTCAGTTAAGACACTGTGGTCCACAGAACCCCATGCTTTGCTGAGCCCCTGGGATCTAATTCACTGTTGCACTCTCACCAAGGGTAAGTGAATGCACTAATTGAGAAAGCGTGAGATCTTCTCTACCAAGACAGAGAAAATAGAGAAGACTCAGAGTTGGGGGAAGTCCACAATCCCTACCAAACCCATACTCTTACCCCTACCCTCTAGCCCCTGTGTAAAACATGTCAACGCTAGGCCCCCTCAATGAAACAAAGGTGAACATATTTTCCATTAATATATTCTACTAGTATTGGAAAACAGCATAGGGTATGGAAAAAATTTCTCAAGATATATAGAGGGGGGAAAAGTCTCCCTGTAGGCCCACTCTAGCTCATTCTGCAATTTATGGCTTGAAACTATGGCTATTCCATGTAGGTGAGGCCTGAACCAAAAACTATTGATAACTAGGTATATTTCTTCCATCCAAGAGAGAAATCTTGCTTTTGTAGCAGCGAGTCAGTTTCTGGGTTCTGATGGCTATGTTCAGAAGGAAAGAGGGGAAAGTGGGAACCAAATGGGCTTTACTTTAGGATGTGTGTATCTATGAGGCCTATCTCCCTTTCTCCAACCTAACCACCACTGCAGAACCCAACTGGAGGAACTATTGTTCCAGGGTAAAGTCACTGGTACAGCTATCTGCCCTTTAACTAACCTGCCACCATACCAAAATTTTGAGAATAATTCTGGGATTTGGCTGGAGCACTGAATTTTTTGGAGGTTTTAACTTTTTCTCATATGAGATTAGGCATTTCATTATCACTCTGTTCCAATCTGCATTACAGATTCCAGAAATTTCACATTACTTTGTTCTGCTGGTAAAAACCCTCTGAGATTTCCAGAACAGCTGTGGATTTATTTTTATGTGAATAGTTCTTCAAACATTTCAATGGGAATTAAGGATGGGGGGATGTGCATAAAATTGTCTTTTCTCTTGTGGATGTGTAACCGACGTGATTCTGCATTCTGCATTTGGGGTAAAATTGGGAGTTCATAACCCACTTCAATCTAATGTATGAAATATGATATGTCAAGAGCTTTGTAATGTTGTGAACAACCAATAAAAAAAAGTTTACTGAAAAAAAAATAAAATAAAATTTTCTTTTCTCATCTAACCCTGTCTCTCCTCCTGTTTCTTGCTGTGTTCTCCAGTCCTCCCCATGACAAACATTCCCTCTCCTATCAGGCCAGCCTTTGCTGCAAGCCATCTTCCTGAGTGGGTCACATCTGGCCATTCCCTGCTTTTAAAACCTGTATGCCTCCTTATCACCTAAAAAACAAAACTCAACTCCTAGCACCTAATATCCTTTATATCTGGCACCAACTTGTTTTCTAATTGCTAATTATCCATCTTTCTCCAAATTGATTTTCAGTTCTTGAAAAAACACGGATCATTTCTCACTTTTCTGTTTCCCACTGCGTACCACCCATGGAAGACATGCCAAAACAATGGTTCTTTCCTCTCCACTTTAACCACTGTTAATAGATGGTTGCTTGAATAAGTGAATAAATTATTAAATGATTGAGTTTATTTACATTTACTTTTATTTTGCTTCAGAAATTAAGACTAATCATTAAATATTGGCCTATAGTTTTAAAACTTTAAATTTTAACATCAAAAGTACAATTTGAAAAGCACAATATAATGTTTAGGTTGTTCTGTATTTATTCTGTCACAGATTTTGCCACATATCCTATCACCAAAACTATTCTTAGATATTTTAAAGATGTTGCTAAGTATCTTAACTTTTTACATAGCATGTATAAATAATAATAATGTGTGTTAAGGTGATATTGTTGCCTACATGAGGGTTTTAGTTGATTTTCTCAACGTTATTTTATTGCCATTTTTCCATTTTCACTATTACTTGGGATGTGCACTTAATTTAAATTATAGTTATCTCTATAGCTTCAATTTATCTCTGCTTTACTGTCACAAACTCATGTGGGTTCGTTAACATGGTATGTTTTTGTTGTTACTGCTGCAGCTACTGCCACCATTTACATATGGTGTAGGGGGAGAGAAGAGAGAGGTGCCTTCTATTTCATGAATGAAAAATGCATAAAAAATGCCTACTTTATTATTTGATTATTGATATTAATGGTGAGGACATCACAACTTATTTTTTGCTGCTAGTGTATCACTTTTATACCTTAATTTGGTTTATTCTCTACTTTTATAGGGAGAGAAAAGTAAGGATGCACCTTCATGGGATCCTGCTGGCCTGAAGTTCATAGAGCAGAATGTTCCCAGAGACTCTCTTTGTCACCTTTCCAATCGCCCTAAAGCAATAGAGCATGCCTATCAATATGGAGGGACAGCCAACAGCCGCCAAGAGTTTGAACATTTAAAAGGAGATTTTGGTGAAAAGTAAAGTAACATTCTATGCTTCCAGAAACTTAATCTCACACTCCATCTTTGTTTGCCTACATATCAACTTTTTTCCTATGATCTTTCCTTTCTGAGTCACTTTAATCTGATTATCATCAACGGGTGTTCTAAATAGTATAATTCATGCTTTCCAAGAAATTATGTTCTCTGTGACTATTTTCCCCAAATAAAAGATACATAAACAGCATTCTCCCAGGAGTTTGCAATGTTTGATCAAAAAGAAATGACAATCAAGGACAGGAAAAGGGGGCAAGTTTCAGATGACTCATAATTTAACCTTGGTATCATCCTCACTACTCCACACAAATTGCCTTCAGATTGTAAATGGGAATGCACCTGAATTTCTAGGTTAATTGGGAAAGACACTGAAAATACAAATACATGTATATGTCCATGGCCCTCCAGCTGTCTCAAACCCATCACTTCTTCACAGCGTTCCAAAAGCCTCTAACTATTTACTATTATTGAAAAACAATTTTTATAGCTTTAGTACACAAATATTCTTATGTCATCTACTTCTATCAGTTATACCAGGGAATGCATCTAATAATAAAACTCTAAATCCTTCTAATTTGCTACTTACCTAATAGAAAGAATCAGTATTTTGTATTCTTCAGGAAGAATTTAGAGTTAATGAAACTAGAAGTTATAAATAAAGTTATAAAGTTTATTTTATTTGTAAAAGAACAACTGATAAATATATCTTATACAAACTTGGAACTAAACTTCTAGAAAATTTTCTTTATATACACATTTCTACACAATGGGTTGGCTGCTTTTAAGCATGATATACACTGATTCATTTTTACTTGGAAAATTTTCAATATGTAATTTGGATTGTACACAAATAATATTATTTCTATAAAAATTTCTACATGTATATTGATAATCACTAGTATTTTTCCATACAGATAACCTTCTTTAACATAGAATTTTTACTAAGTTGTAACCATATTGTCAGAGAAAGACACAATAAGATCCTTAACTAAGACAACATTTCCATATGTGGAAATGTATCACTACTATATAATGGAGTAGGAAGAATTTACATTTTTGAACTAACCACACTTACCCATATTCATTAGTAAAACTAACAGCAGTAATGCTGCTTGGGCTAGATAGAATGGCTGCTTATTTATTCTTCCTTATGCTACATTACTTTTAGAAGTGAAAGATTATCCATAGTCTCATTTTACAAATGGTAAGCTTTTTCTTTTCACTTACCAGATCTCAGTTTTCCATAAGTCTGAAAACTCGTTCTTCCCACGGTATGATTTTCTATGTCTCCAATCAAGAAGAGAATGACTTCATGACTCTATTCTTGGCCCATGGTCGCTTGGTTTTCATGTTTAATGTTGGCCACAAGAAACTGAAGATTAGAAGCCAGGAGAAATACAACGATGGATTATGGCATGATGTAAGTTGAAGGCAGAGAATAGCATTAATGGCAAATATACACCACTATCTGAAAGATTGACTCTGATACTCCACCATTGGTCTCTAGAAATAACCTTTTTAAAATTCTGCTGCTTTACACTCAGAGTTCAATTTCAAAAATGTATTAATTCCTTATAAAATTCTTAAATGTACTTTTTAAAGACAGGCAAAGGATGAGTATAATTATTTTAACCAAAGATTCAGTAGCCAATATAAATGGAAGTTTGGTTTCTAATAATTTTTTACTTGAGTTTTTCCCACTGCCTAGAGGTTTCTAATTTCAACAATTATTATTGAATGTCTTTAATAGGCTTTTATAGCTGTGGAAGATATCAAGAGAGTAAATCTGTAAGTCAAGCCACAGAGGGGGAACAAGATGCATTACATTTAGTTACAATCACTTTTAGAGAAGGAGAGACCATGTGAGCTGGTTAACTGGAAAGAGCTTCACATAGATCTTTGCTAAATATAATCAATTTTGAGAAATTAAGCCTGTAGCTTTAAATCATTCTATCTAGGGCTCAGAAAATATACAGATAACTTCCTCTAACACATGAAGTGCTGAAGCCAAGGTGAGCCAGGAAAATACACCCATATATATATAAAGCAAGGACTGGAGACAATCCACAATAAAGACATATGATGTAAAACAAAACAGAATAAAATAAAGGATGAAGTTTCTGACATTCCAAAAACTAGATAGCCAGAAGTCTACTAAACAGAGGAAAAGATAAAACTCCTGACCTTCAGAGAAATGACCATCTTTTTATGAACTTTCTGCATATTTCCCATGGTGTTTCAACTTCAGAGTTGGGAGCAGATATAGAACAGCCTTTTCCTCCATCTTAGGATTTACCTAAGATATGCTATTTTCTTTCTCTCTATCCAGGTGATATTTATTCGGGAAAAGAGCAGTGGTCGACTAATCATTGATGGTCTCCGAGTCCTAGAAGAAAGTCTTCCTCCTTCTGGAGCTGCCTGGAAAATCAAAGGTCCCATTTATTTGGGAGGAGTGGCTCCTGGAAGGGCTGTAAAGAACGTCCAGGTAAGCTATATGGAGCTAAGCCAAGCCATTGACCTTTAGGACTGGAAGGTCACTTCATCCAGGCCCCCATTTTACACACAAGGAAACTAGCATAATTTTTTCCTAAAATTGTAGTTTTGCTGAAGTTGGAACTTCAAAGTGAGTATTGTCCCACAGGCAGTCTGTCCGCCTCAGGACAATACAAAGTCAGGAGTGACCTCTTGATTTTAAAATAGAGGTGAGATGAAAAGTTCCAGAGGTACAAATTATCATGAAAATCACATCTTATGGAGAATCTTATTTGTTTAGCAAGTACCTATATTTTTAATATAAAGAGATACCAAAACCAGAAAGCAAGTCATTCCATTATTGTAATATTCCATTATATTATTTTAAAAATGTTTCAGGACATTATGTAAACTATAATTTTATTTCTTAACACACATTCACATATGGAATTTGTAAATGTGTAAGGAATATGGGTACCCAGAAAAGAAGTGAGAAAATAAGCATTATTTTTATAGTTTAAAAATCAAAAATATTCTATCTCTAAAAAGTTGCTTAGCAATAAAAGGACTACATTGAAGAACTAAACTTTAGTTAACATAAATTTGTAAAATGTAAAATTTTTCATAATTCCTATAAACTGATGTTATCAAATACAAAATTCCAGTCTCAAAAAAACTAGTTAAAAAGCAACTCCCCAGAAAATTATTAATTGTTCAGATAGTTAAAATAATTAAGGAATTACTTGGTTTCTCATGGGGCATCTGTGAGTGCTGAGAAAATGGATTTTAAGAAATGTCTTCTTCTTTCAGATTAACTCAGTCTACAGTTTCAGTGGCTGTCTTAGCAATCTCCAGCTCAATGGGGCCTCCATCACATCTGCTTCTCAGACATTTAGTGTGACCCCTTGTTTTGAAGGTCCAATGGAAACAGGAACTTATTTTTCAACAGAAGGAGGATATGTTGTTCTAGGTAACACGAATGCTGTGACTTGAATGTGGTTTACCTTCACTTAAACTCATGTTAATGCTTGATCTCCAATGGAACAATGTTGAGAGATGTTGGGACCTTTAAGAGATGGTTAGGTTGTTAAGAAAGATTAATGCTTTTCAGCCAGGCACAGTGATGCACACCTGTAATCCCAGCAGCTCAGGAGGCTGAGGCAGGAGAATGGCAAGTTCAAAGCCAGCTTCAGCAATGTTGAGGTGCTAAGCTACTCAGTGAGACCCTGTATTTAAATAAAATACAAAATAGGGCTGAGGATATGGCTCAGTAGCCAAGTACCCTTGAGTTTAATCCCCGGTACACACCCGCCACCAAAAAAAAAAAAAAAAGATTAATGCTTTTCTCATGGGGTGAGTTCTCACCCTTCAGGGACTGAATTGGTTATGGCCAGTGGTTTGTTAGACCGTCTAGCACCTCCCCTCCCTCATTCTCACCCTCTTGTACGCATATCCCTTCTACACAAGCATGCTTGCCCTTGCCTTTCCATTTCCACTATGTTCTGGAACCTTCCAGTCCCCAGAACTCTGAGTCAAATAAATCCTTTTTCTTTATAAATCATTCCATCTTAGGTATTCTGTTATAGCAACAGAAAATGGACTTGAAAACATGAGTCATGAAATGCTTTTTCCTGGAGGTGGCTAAGAGGGAACATCAGGCTCGGAGTAAAAGAGCACTTGCCTAGCACCACAAGACACAAGGTTCAATTCCTAGCACTGGCAAAAAAATTAAAAACTAAAATAAGACAAAACTCCTCCAAAAAAATAACCTCTTTTTCCAAGAACCACCATGGTTCCCTTCCACTACGCTAAATCAAATATGCAATTCCTACCTGTTGCTCTACCTTCCCCAGGTTCTTCAGTCCTGCAATCTTCTCAAAGTTGGCCATCTTGACATCTTTAGAATTTCCTGTGCTATTCCATGACCTGAACTGTATTGGCTCTTGGTTACCTTGCTCCTGAAAGTCTTCCCCTACTCCCTCTTAACATGAACCATTGTTCCCACTAAATAAAATTCCACTTTCTCCCTCTGCCCCACAACACTAGTAGATGACACTATCCTTCAGATATCTTATTTCTGGGTTTTTATTCTCCTCAGTCATTACTCTCTTGCTTATTCATTCAACAGTTTTTATTGTGTGCCCCCTGTATGGAAGTTGCCTTGCCAGAGGATGGAATATAATTGTTTTCACAATAAATAAAATCATAAACATTCTATATAACAATCACTTAGTGTGAGGAAGATACCAGAGTAGATGCTGGGAATGAGGATAGAAGAAGATATAAAAGCACATGTCTCCTATTTCAAGGCACTCAGGTACTCTGTACATCCCCTGAATAAAGAGTATGCAGCAAGTATGCTTTCTTAGACTACCACAATGTTCAAGAGAATAACCAGCATTTATCTTTCCTCTCCTTGTCTGGCTCCTAAGTTTTCTTTCCTTCCCTGTCCCACCTGCTCACTCCTACTAAAGTACACATTTCTTAGCCCTTCCCTGAATTTCAGTGAGAAATCTAAAGGTGTAGACAGCTTGAAATTCATAGCCAAATGCACAATTTATGTTCTTTTCCATGAACATTAATAGCTGGAACATTATTAAAGTGATTTATAAAGAAACACATCAAGCAGACACTATTAAGATGCCCATGTGTTCAATGAGCCTCTTGGAGTGAACACAGCTATTCTTAATAAAAATTGTTTGGGTTCATCATAATAACAGCTCCTAAATACTTTTGCTGCTCTCATTCTCTCCTCTGAAATGCTTTGCAGTACTGGCACAAGTTAGTTCTTTAAGAATTCTTTCAAAACACAGATCTGGTCAAGTCATCTCCCTTGATAAGTGACCACAAAATAAAAACAAACTTCCATCTTTGAGCATTGGAGCTCTTCCAGGTGTGGATCCCCACTCACCATGCCTGCTTCTGCCCTTACAGGGACTATCCAGCCAGCCTGGGCTTCACTATGCTGTCCACATGTTCCATCCTCTGTAGCTGGGTCCAAGCTCCCTCCTCTGCCCAGATTGTCCTGTCCTCCTTCTCACTCCTGAAATAGTAAATGGTGCTGCTAGTTGGAATTCATTTCTCTTCCCCTGAACTTCCATAGCACATAGAGTATTTTTAGTGTGCTGGCCCCACCTCCATGCCCCACAAGAATGATGTGTTATTTATATTACTCCCCTGAGTTTTATGTGGTGTTGGAAAATAGCCTTTTCTTCTTACCTGTTGAGAAATGCAATGAATTTTTGAAACTAGATGCAAAAATATATAATTATAAAATCATGCCATAGTTACAAATTTTATTTTGCTGTTCTTGAGGCTTATAGTATTTCTCTCCACAGATGAGTCTTTCAACATTGGATTGAAGTTTGAAATTGCATTTGAAGTTCGTCCCAGAAGCAACTCTGGAACGCTTGTCCATGGCCACAGTGTCAATGGGGAGTACCTAAATGTCCACATGAAAAATGGGCAGGTAACATCTTTTTGAAAAATTTAACAGTCTGTCTCATTTAACCTTTCATTCTAATCAAAAACAGATTTATTTCACATAATTATTTTATCTTATCAATCAATAAAAACCAGAAAGCTGTAACATGAAATTTAAATGTAGGAAACATTAGAATTCACATTGATATGTTGGGATTCATCTGATTAGAACAATGTCAGGAAATTACGGCAAAGGTTTCAGGAAAAGAAGATCACCAATCACAGCACAGAGTTTTAACCAATGAATTGTCATTTTTTTTTTCAGCAAATTAAAGCAAAAAAAAAAACCCAATTATCAAAATCAACAACACAAAAACATCTATCTTCCTGAATATCTATAAATGTTTATCAGATAATATACATCAAAGATACATGCATATATATCTAGACATATGTATTATTCTGTTACTATAAATTTTTAATTGTTACAATTAAACTCCACTTTCACCCTTAAATACCACTTAAAACACTACTAAAATACTACTTATGAAGGTATTCAAATAAATATTAAGGAAAAGATATATTTATATTATGCCTCTCAAACTTAATGTAACTGATTTTTATTTGGATTCTAGTATATTTTATTAAACCGTATAAAAATAGAATTTCTCCAGATATGGTATTTACTACATGTAAGGGATTATTCAAGATGCTTTATATGGATTTACCCATTTAGTCCTCCCAATATCTCTAGGCTGTAGGTAATATTATCATTCTTATTTTACAAAGAGGAAACGGATGCAGACAGTAAGTTAGATGGGAGTCAGGCAGTCTGGCTTCAAGGCCCATGATCTTCAACAATATTTTGAACTTCTTTGTATAACACATTCTATCTTGAGAAATTAAAGGAATTTATTCAATTGCATTTCCTATCATTCCTCTCTTCCCATCTTTTCTCCCTTGTGATTAGTTTGCTGTCTCTCCATGGAGCACTCCCAGTTTAAACTATTTCTATTGCCTACCAAAGAGTGACCCCTTGTGTTCAAATTGCAAAGTTACTCATATGTGGATATTTGTTAAGAGTATTGTTTCCTTGGGTGGATTTTTGTTAAAGTATTGCTTCAAGAAATTCAGTTTTACAATGACAAGGAGAAATTAAACTAAATTATATAAGTTAACTCTCTTTTGTAGGTCATAGTGAAAGTCAACAATGGCATCAGAGACTTTTCTACCTCAGTGACACCTAAGCAGAGTCTCTGTGATGGCAGATGGCACAGAATAACAGGTGAGAAAATATAGGTGTCCTGGGTTTCCTTTACAAAGATGAGCCTGCACACCCACCTGAGAAATGATGGCCTGGCAGAATTTATGTGATATGCATGACGACGACGGATGATAATCTAAACGTGACCAAGAGAAGTGTTATTATTATATTAAAATGTGTATATTGAATACACATGTGATTTGAAATATAAATGCTGCCAAAATAGTGGAGTTGTTTACATAATGAGTAACTTATGAAGCAAAAAAGTAGCACAAGAGTATCCTAAATATTTTCCCTTTTGAAGGAAAATGTTAGTGATTGCTCAGTTAGACATTGTTAAACTTAATATATTGACATCTTACTGATATAGGAGAAAGTGTAGGGTTTTATTCTGGAATAAATAAAAGTCATTGTTGTGATAAATTATTCTCTTCATGTGAAAATTAATCACTCTAGTTCCATTTATGACCAGTCTTTGCCCAATATTTCACTGTATTTCAGTTATTAGAGATTCAAATGTGGTTCAGCTGGATGTTGACTCTGAAGTGAACCATGTGGTTGGACCCCTGAATCCAAAACCAATTGATCACAGGGAGCCTGTGTTTGTTGGAGGTGTTCCAGGTAAGCATTGTTTAAAACAAATAAGTTTCCAAATCAAAAAAATAGTAAGTTCTTACGATTTTCATTATGTTATTTAGAAGTAAGCCATGTGTTTTCATAATTCACCTAATAACTCAAAGGATTTTATGTCCTCTAATAGGAAAAGCAAACAGAAAATTGTGATTTCTTATCCAAGAAGCACATAAAAACTGGTGTTATAGCCAACAGATATTACTCACATCTTGATGTATTTGCTTATTTTTTGTCTCCTTTTACATATCCTATCTATACACAAACACACATTGAACCATTCTATTTTATCCCTAACACCAAAAAAAACCCCTCATTTTCTAATACTGCTCTAAGATCTGAAAACCTTGAGGATTAAAATTTTGCTATTAATTGTTCCCCTTCTATAAAAGGAAAAAATGTGAAGTACCCCACCCCACCCCATCCAAGATTAGTCTAAATTGTGAAAACAGCTGCAGACCATAAGTTATGTTGTTCTTGTTCCCTAGGAGAGGTTCCCAGCTGCAATTCTATAAACATCATCATTCCCATCACCTTGTCTTCTGCCAAGAATGGCATATAATATAGGACAGTGATAAAAGGATAGTTATACCACTCCCCCCTACACAATCGTTTTAAACCTCTAGAGCAGGGACCATATCCTTATGTTGAATGTGATTGTTGTTTTTAAACATTTCACTACCTTGAAAAGAAAAGCTGTGAGGAATAGAATATATATATATAATTTCTGCATCTGGAATTTGGTGGAGATTTTAATAGTCTCCTAACTAGATTATCTTAGATTTACCCACATCAAGACAGCCAAGAGAATGAAAAAGCATAGATCAAATAAAGCATCTCAACTTGGGTCCCCAAAATAGTAGTAATTAAGTACTCCTCTCCTTTGTAATGCAAATATTTCAAAGGTCAGTTTTAACAATGATAGCAAATCAGGGATCAAAAGAAATACTTAAGACCCTCACAAAGCAACCTTTCCTTTTTTTCACTTCCCTACCCACCTCCCATTGCCATTCCCTAGTTCTGTTGTCCAGTTCCTGGCTTTGGTTCTGAAAGGAATTCAGCAAAGGTCTCTATTTCACTTCATGCAGATAGAGTGTGAAAAATGTCTCACATCCTTCCTTATATTTCTGAGTATTGCTTCCTTCCTAAAAATTACAATGTAGTTTAAAATACTTCACAGGTTCCTAAGGGTCCACAGGATCAAATTCAGAATAACAAGCAAGGTCCCTGATCATCTGTCCCCACCTTCCACCTACCTCTGGGATCTCCCCATACCTTCTGGAACTTGAAGTTTCCTAAATTTTCAATGGTGCTCTCTTAGCTCCAGGCTTTTACACAAGTACACAGGGCTACAGTTTCTGAAAAATATTCTTTTTTTCTTCCTCTAGTACCTTTATAGAGAACAGCTTCTCCCACTCCCCCCCCCCAACCTAATTCCTTACTGACCCCTTTAGGATTCAGCTTGGGCTTTTATTTACACATGCCCATCTCCTGAGGATGTGTATGCATACCAGTGTTGTAGCATTATCAGAAAATGCTGTCAAAGCTAAGCAGTACACCCCTTGCTGCCAAGGACCATGATTTCACTCAACATAGAGCCTTATGGAGGGTCTAATAAGCACTGTGCTAGGCCCCCAGGATGTGGATAAAACAAGCATAGGCTTTCATCCTGGAAGTTACAGTGTTTGTTCTTCCCTCTGTACCCCAAGTGCTTACCCATCATTCAAACAAATATTTCTCTTTGATTTTTGTTGGTTTGTTTTTACAATCTGATCCTAGCATCCATCACACACTGCTTCCAATAAGTTCTACAGACTAGGTGGACAAGATGTACCTAACATCAAATTCAGCCTGTCCAAAACATAATAGCAAATTTTAGCTAATGAGCCAACACACAGGAACTAGCAGGGTAGGGTGTTCTAACCACCAACCCACTGCCACATTGCAGCTTTTAATTCTATCTAGGAAACATGCCAGCAAGCATAGAACAAAAGCAATTATAATTTAAGTTGAATGTAATTAATTATATCATTTTGAGCTATTCCATATTAATTCTATCGAAATCACATCAGAAACCAGGGCATTAATAAAACCCCTATGTACCCTGAATTCTCTTGGAATCCCAGTCAGTCATACCACTCAGAACTCTGCTGACGCATTATTTCTACCACCAAAAAAATAATGAATAAAATTCATAAAACTTCTATACAAAAAGAGTCAACTTCATTGTATGATAATTTAAAAATTAAAGGTGAAAATTAGAAAAAACTTTAATGGAGCCCACACATGGATCTAACCATTCACTTTTCTTTTATGAATTCTTCTTTATAATATAGTCATAGGAAATTGAAAATGTTCCCTCTTAAAAACATGCATTGACTTTATCAATCAATTACTTAGGGTCCTGAGGAACCTTTATGTCACTACTTACAATTAATTGTGTGATATGTTAATGCAAACCATAATTGCTGTATCAATTATTTTCTCCACATGATTTCTTCCATGAACCAAAGGGTGGAAAACTTGGGCAGAATCAAAACCCATGTTCTAAATATAGTCTACAATGTGGGCCAAAGCATTAGATGTTTCTACTCCTTATAATCTTCCCTATTCACTCATTTTTATTCTGATGAAATATAAAAAGCAGACTTGAAGAATATTTTTTTTCATACTAATCTTGAGGCAAATACAGGGAACTGATCTCCCAGGCCCCTTCCAAATCTAAAACTCAATGATTATCATTCTAAGTATGAAATGCTATTTCTGTGATTTTCAGTACACAACTTCTGCACATTATAACTCTTCATTGCTTAGAAAATTTATTACAGCTGCTTGATGTTTAATTTGCTGACCTATTTTATGTTCTTTCCCAAGTTACTGATTTCTAAGTGTTTTTCACCTTTTATCTGTTACTGCTCACATAGTTGTTTGTACCTAAGAAGCTTTGACTAAATAGATTTTAATTTTGTGATACTTCTAAGCTCTCTGAATTGCTTTATATTATATTGCTATCATCCCAACACGTTTAACCATGTCTGTACAATTAATAAACATAGGCTTCTTCTATGTCTAATTAAGATAAGGAGAGAGAGTCCACCTGGCATACCACAGGGCACCTGTGCTCACACAAAGACTAGGCTAGTTATCACTACCCTATTTATAGTTCTTAAGCCCTGAACTCAGGAAAATTAAATTTTAGTTTACTTGAATTCATTATTTTCTCATTATATTTCATGAGCTTGGCAAAAAATAGTTTGAAGATGAAGAGTAATGAGATGAATTAACATTATGTCCCAAAGTAGTGTGGAATCTAAAATGTCTTTCCCCCTTCTCAACAAAGCAGAGAAAATAATTGAAGCCCAGGTGAAATTAACTCTAAAAAGCATAGGTAGATTATGAAAATTCACAGCTGAAGCTTTGTGTAAATGGTAAATTTTCACCTTGGAAGATAGCTACAATATACACAGAAATTTGATTACGGAAAGCCAGGCAAAACAATAAAATTACCATAATGTTCATATTACTTCAGAAGCAGATGATGTTCCTGAGAGTCAATCCTAACTATATTCCATTTTTAACATACAAATCATTTTGATGATATGAGCAATTATTATTTTTATCCTCTACCAGGAAGTTATAATTGGGCTTGGAATACCTCCATTGCAAATTTTGTTTTCTTTCTCTTTTCAGAATCACTACTGACACCACGCTTGGCCCCCGGAAAACCCTTCACAGGCTGCATCCGCCACTTTGTGATTGATGGGCGCCCAGTGAGCTTCAGTAAAGCAGCCTTGGTCAGCGGAGCTGTGAGCATCAACTCTTGTCCAGCAGCCTGACACAACCAAGCACAGTTGCCCAGCATACAGAGTTCTTTAGAGCACTGAAATAAACATAGGGCCAGCCAGGAGGACTAGCAACTTCTCCTCCCGTGGAAGCTCTCGTAGTTGAATGGGACTTAAATGAATTATCAGGGTATGGAGGCTTCTTCTCATTTGGATTCCTTCTTTGGATCCAAAATATCTACAAAGGACGACAATTGTATGGGTAGTAAACTTGTATTGAGAGCACACATAATTCCTGCTGGTGAAATGACTGTTCCTGTCTAATAAAACAGAGAAGGGATTCTAAATAAACACTGGCACACATTTTTAAAGTGAAGCTACATTCTTGGATTCATCATTCTTCTTTCAGGAAAGATAGCTTTCAATCTATACCAAAATATCTTTGTCCCATGCTATCTTTTTATCTTAAAAAGATTTAATAATTTGTGTATAATCTAAAATTAGATGATAGATTTGCTTTTCTCCCTTTTACTTGATCTATAAACTTAAGACTATTTTAGTTTTATAGCTGCAAAATGGCAGTATGATTATTTCTAAATAAGAAAAAAAATAATTAAACTAATAATTCCTTAAAAGAAAAATAAAATTACATGAAGGAAGGCTCAAATATTATATTATTATTACTATTATTTTGTGTTGGTATTACCAAGGACATTCATTACAACAGAGATAACAAAAATTGTAAAATTCAACTCAAAAACATAAAAGTCCTTTTATTAAAAGTTTTTCTTCTACATGCCTGCAACACAACCAATCTTATTTCTAAAATTTTAGAATCTTTTTCCTAAGCATCTTTGTAAATAAAGCCTAGAAAAAGAAAAACACATTGAATAGCTGCTAGAATATTAAAAATACAGAAATTGGGATAAAAAAATTATATGTGAAAGGATAAACAACTCTAAAGTCCAAAGTCCAAATGAGAGAAGACAGGCCCCACAATCAGTAAGACAGAGTATACATAAAAGGAATAATTATTGAGGGAAATGGGTATAAATATTTTTAGGAATTACCAAAGGGAGTAAAAAAATCTCTTAGCTTGAAAGGAACACACACACACACACCTATTTATATTCCCCCACTAATTTTTAATCTCAGATATATAAAGATAACTGACAATATTGATGAAAATAACTACATCTGCTCATAGAGGACTACTGTCAGCTACCATGATAAGCTAAACTAAACTTGTTTCCGATGTTCATCATGTTAATCCTATATGAGACAACATTTGCAGCTCAGGTCACCAGTCCACTGACATTCAGCTAGACCTAGGATCCAGGGTTCAAAACAAGGCTGCCTGCCTCCAGCAGCTGTATGACTGCCCCCCTTACTTCCCTGCAAGAGGAAGGAAGAATGTTTCCCTTCTAAGGTGAAAGAAGCTTTTATTTCCTTTTAGTTAAGCTAACATATCAATACTTCACACAGTAAAAATATAGGTTAAGTGCTCATAGTCATTTTGACCAATCATTTGTAGCTTCTGTCAGTTCAGTGTCCCTTCAAAATGAAGAGGCCCTTGGATACCCTTGGCTTGAAGAATATTTGGGCCTGTGTTCCCCCCTCTTCCTTTCATGGCCAAAACTCCCTGGACAAGAAGAGAATCATCCTGTGACTTCCCAGTTACGCCCATTTCATACACTAAGATATTTTTAAATGTAAACTTCCAGTTTTCTTCCCATCTTGTTGCTATTATCACCATACATTATTTTTATGTTATCCTTCCTACTAATTTCCTTTAATCACCTGTTTTTAAATGAGGAAATGGTTTATAAGTTTATATATTTTCCATTTCTTGTGCTATATCTATAGATCTAAATTTCTATCACCATTTTCTGTCTGAAAAACTTTTTTGAATCTTTTAGTAGAGATCTATTAGGGATGAATTCTCTCAGCATTCATTTAGCTAAAAGTCTTGTCTATTTTCATTCTTGAAAGATACTGCAAACATATCGTCATCTTGAATATGTGTTTTCTGATGTAAAGTGTGCTCTCATTATTTTTGTTCCTCTGGTCATTTACTAATCAATTATAAGATTCTCTTTTTAATTATGGTGTATCACTGTTTTATTTTTTCCATGTTTCTTCTCCTAGAAAGGGGTTGGTTACACTGCTTGGATCTCTTAGTTTATTCTTTTCATCATATTTTGAAAACTTGCATATTATTTTTTCAAATATTTGTCTATCTTCCTCCTACCTCCTCCAAGGAAACTTTTTTATATACATGTTAAGAGTGCTTGATGATAAAACACAAGAAGTCATGTGAAACAAAAATTTATGCTTTTTATTCATTCCTTTTTCTTCATATTCCATTTTTGGATAACTTGAACAGCTATGTCTTTAAGTTCATTAGTATTTTATTTCCCATTATCTAATGTTTTAATTCTATTCAGTGTGTATTTTTTATTTCAGATATTTTCATTTTCTAGTTCTACTTAGGTCTTTTAAAAAACCTTCCTTTTCTCTCTTCATCATTACAATGACTTCACATCTACTCAAACATATGAGTATATTTATGGTAGTTTGTATATTAAAGCTATCATTTATCATTCTATTTTTCTACTGAATGAAGCTTCTCGTGACTATGGATTATATTTCTTTCCATTTTTGCTTGCCCATTAATTTTTTATTAGATGCTGATCATTGTGGATTTTACATTTTTGGTGCTAGATTTTCATTGTAGTTCTTTAAATTTTGAGTTTTCCCACACTTGAATACAGTTAAAGTAATTGGAATCAGTGTTGTCTCTTCAAGTCCTGATCTGAGCATTGTTAGGGCAGGTTCAGAGCAGCTTTCCCAATCATCCCCCAAGTCTACTCCCAACCCCACTCTGATTATACTTGCTAAAGACTCAGAATCCATTTAATAAAAGAACTTTTCATCATGCTAGTTGAAACACAAATTATTTCCAACCTTGTATGAATTGTATTTTTTATCACTACTCCTTTCCTGTTATTCTTTTTCCCAGTCTTGGGCAATTTCCTGTCTGGGTTTTCTTTTCTTTCTTTCAGGAGCGTTACACTTTTTATCTGGCATACAATTATGTTACTTAGGCATCATCTTGATTGTCTGAAGTCTTATTTTTAAGCTTTGTTAAAGTTGGTACACTAGTTTTTAGGCTAGAGCTCATTTAGTCTTCCTATAGAGACATGACTTTTTTGAATCTCTACTCATTATCCCACATGTTCAACAAGGACTTTTCTCTTTGGTTGGTTGTAACTTGAATATTTCCCAGCTGATAGTGTAAGTTATGAGAGTTTATCATTTTATAACTTCATGGCAGTTTTTTTTTTCTTTTTTAACTAATATAGTACATATGCATCTATGTACATATAATTATAAGCTAATAGATTTTTCATTTTTAAAAAAGACCTATGTATCTCTTCAGGGACAGTAAGAAACTGAGAGAATTTTAACTGACCCTAAATCAGTCCTTTGGAGAAGACAATTTTATTGGATGGATGGTGACAGCCATGAAGAGGAAAGGAAAGCAGGCTGAGTCCTGGGTACTACTGCAAGAAGAAAAATAAAACATATAGAGCTGGCCTAGACCTCAAAGGTTATCCTTATCCTTTTACTAATAAAGTAAAAAGATCCATCTGAACTTTTTCAATACTGATAGACAATTTTAAGATGACTGGTTGGGACTTGGGGAATAATGTGATAATGGGTCATTTTTCCTGGAAAAGATAAGGGTTAAAACCATAGCCTTGACCTTATTAATAAATTTAACCAATAATCTGAGCTCCCAAATGAAAGCAGTTAAAATACTTTGCAGATTAACCATGGACTAGGAACTTTTTTGATCTTGGATATTCTTCCAAAAAGCACAACGCCCAGGCTCCATTGCTTACCCAATATAATTTTTGGCAGAGCATTATCAAAGATTATCAAGCCATAAATGAGCTAGGGTATTCAGATGAAGGGACTTAGCTAAGTATTAACCTAAATATAAACAAAGGAAGTTAACTTAAAACACATTAAGTATTTAAAATAGGCCCTACATGAGAAGAAGCAAGATGATAGATTAGGATCATCCCTCACAAAAAAATAAATTTTAACAACTATGCACATTAAAAAAAAACTTCATTAATACCTAAGGAAACCAGATGAGAGACCCTGATTTCACAAATAGTAAGAAAATTATGCATTGAAGAGAATAGAAAAGACAATTTTCACATTACCCTCCTAACTGCTGGCAGAACAGCATGGAGAAAATCCCCATCTACTTGGAGGAAGGAGAGGGAAGTAAGCTTAGGAATTTGCCTTGTAATCCAGCACTAGGCCACCACAGTAAAACCTAGCACCAAGCAGAACCTCTTGACTCAACACCAATATTCAGAGACAGAGCCCCTAGACCTACTTCAACTCAAGATAGGAAACCACAACTCCAGGAGGATGAGCTCAAGTTCTGGCCTATGTCACCACCAGCAAACTATGGTAGCCTTGGGCCCTGAATAAACCTCAGCAGTGAGCTGGCCATCTGCCTGACATTGTGCTGGCCTAGCAGCCACAGGCTTTGAGTTTGACCAAGTAGTACATTGGCCATGGCAGCCAAAGGATCCTGTGGGCAGTGGTCCTCAGTATAGGGTGCTCCCTAAGACGGCAATGACAGAAGTTGTCATAGGCTCAGTGACCTGATTAGGTTGACTGATTAGTCAACTTGCCCTGAATCTCTGGACAAATTTATGGAAACTCCCAAATACACCCAAACTGTGAATACTGTATTAGGTACCTATGTCAGTATGCAGATATCAACTCATGGCCAAAAGAGTCAGGATCAACCAAGAAAACATGATGGCGTCAAATGGACAAAATAAGGTACCAGTGACTGATCGTGAAGATATGGAAATGGAATTACTACCTGACAGAGAATTCAAAATAGATGCCTTACATCTATCAGGGACTTCAAGTATTTGAAACAATTAAGAAATTCATCAGAGAAATTTGTAACAGAGATTGAAATAATTTTAAAAAAACAAATAAAATAGGCTCCATCTGACTGATAACCATGGTAGATTAAGTTTCATCTTGAATTATTAATATTAATCATCCAAGATGATCTCTAAGGCACTTCTGTGAAATATTATTCTGCCTTGTGTGTTACACATAACTGATAACTTATCACTATGTGTTTTTTACTGGTTACATTTCTCCTTTTTACTAAAATAAAATAGTTCAACTATTGTCATCATCCAACGGTGCCACCACTTTTATTTGTTTACCAGATCATAAGATGATCTTGGCCCATTACCCTTGACCTAGTCAACCCTCAACAACAGACTTAATGATGCTATTTAGGATGCATTTCCTTGCTGCTTTGTGCAGGTGGCTTTCGCATTGTTGCATAGATAGTGATGGGAACATCAGTTATTGTCAGGCAATGACTTCCAGGGCATCTTCGGAGTTGCCTGAATAAAAGAGCAAATAACATGTAATAATTAGATACTAAACAGGAAAATTTTTAGAGTACCAAAGTTTGAGTATATATTCAACTGTTTTAAATCACTTTGAAATCTTTGAATGGTACAAAATAAGTATAACACAGAGGCATTAATGAGCCAAACATTCTAGGCTTATGTAGCAAAGAAATTGTGGCTGTTGCCAAATATTTAATTACTGAAAGTTCACAAATATCAAAATAACCCTCCAAATTTTTATTTTGAAGGGTATGCAGGAATTGCTAAATAGCAAATTAAAGTACACTGTTATAAACCTAAGTGTTAATACCATGGCAATTCATTCATAAAAAAACTTAAGAATCAGATCATTCATACACTAGCCTTTGTGTGGGCATATGTTTTCATTTATTTAGGTGTAGAATGGCTGAGTCATATGGTAGGTTTATGTTTAGCTTTTAAGGAAGCTGCCAAACTGTTTTTCCAAACTTTTATATCATTTGATATTTTCTCCAGAAGTGTACAAGATTACCAGTTGCTCTGCATCCTTGTCAACACTTGGTATGGTCAGTCTTTTTAATTTGAACCTTTCGGGTGAATATGGACTGAGATCTCATCATAGTTTCCATTTATAATTCTCTGATGAGTGATGATATAGAACATTTTTATGTGTGTTTTGGCCCCTCATAGATCTTCTTTTTTGAAATATCTGTTCAATTTTTTCCTGTTATATAAAATATATTGTTTGTCTTCATATTATTGACATGTAAGAGTTCTCTATACATTTAGAGTACAAGTCCATTGTCTGAATATTTTTTCCCAGTCAGTGACTTGCCTGTATGTTTTTTTAATTTGTTCTAAATGTCTATCAACAAGTAAATAGATAACAAATTGTGCTACATCTATGCAATGGAATCCTACTCAGCAATTAACAGAGCAAAATATTGATTGAATGGATGAATTTCAAAATCTTTTGTACTCCTCAAAAAAAAAAAAGAATGCATAGTGTAGATTCCCTTCCTATAAATTCTAGAAAATGCAAAGGAATATGTAGTAGCAAAGGTAGACCAATGGACATGAGGGTTCAGGGAAGATGGATTATTAAGGGGTATGAGGGAACTTTTGGAAGTGATGGAAATTGTTGTCTTGATGGAAATGGTTTCATGAGTATAGACATTAGTTGAAGCCCATTAAATTGTAGTTTTATATGTGTAAAAAAAGAATCATTTTAGTTGGATGATTTCAAATCTAGAATATATTTATTTTAAAAAATTGAACAAAATATTCCACATATAATCAAATGTTGATGGAATCTCAGGTTTAAAATAGGTCTTAAATGTCACTTTAAAAAATGCATGTAGTGTCTGAATTTCCTTTCCTACATTCCCACCAAATACTCAGCCTTGAACACTTCTAAAGAAAAGCTCAAAACTTTCAAAGTAGCCAATTACATCCTTGATAACTACCTTATTAATATTAAATTTGTGACCCCCAAATCCCTAAACCATGAGAAACCTAACAATATAGTATTTACTGTTTTGCTACAGAAAACAGCAAAAGAGTGTAACAAATCCAATTTATTTGTAGGGGTTTTTTTGCAACTTTGCAAAAATGATTTTTTTCATAGAGTCTCTTTTTCTGAAGATGATCTTTGTTTTAATTAGTTGCTCAAAACATTACAATGATCTTGACATATCATATATCATACATTTGATTCAAATGGGGTATGAATTCTTATTTTCCCACGTGTACAGATTGCAGGATCATATTGGTTATAATACTGTCATACTAGTGTCTGTTGTTTTCTGCTGCCCTTCCTATCCCCTTCCTATCTCCCCTCTTCCCTCCTCTCCCCTCCCATCACCTCTCCTATCCCATCTACTGTAACACATTTCTCTTTTTTTCCTTCCCCCTCACACCATCTTATATGTAATTTTGTATAACAATGAGGGTCTCCTTTCATCTTCCATGCAATTCCCCTTCTCTCTCCCATTCCCTCCCATCTCTCGTCCCTGTTTAATGGTAATCTTCTTCTCATGCTCTTCCTCCCTGCTCTGTTTTGAGTCGCCCCCCTTATATCAAAGAAGACATTTGGCATTTGTTTTTCAGGGACTGGCTAACTTAGCATAATCTGTTCTAATGCCATCCATTTCCCTGCAAATGCCATGATTTTGTTATTTTTTAGTGCTGAGTAATATTCCATTGTGTATAAATGCCACTTTTTTATCCATTCATCTATTGAAGGGCATCTAGGTTGGTTCCATAGTCTAGCTATTGTGAATTGTGCTGCTATGAACATTGATGTAGCTGTATCCCTGTAGTATGCTCTTTTTAGGTCTTTTGGGAATAGTCTGAGAAGGGGAATAGCTGGGTCGAATGGTGGTTCCATTCCCAGCTTTCCAAGGAATCTCCATACTGCTTTCCATATTGGCCACACCAATTTGCAGTCCCATCAGCAATGTACAAGAGTACCCTTTTCCTCACATCCTCACCAGCACTTGTTGTTGTTTGACTTCATAATGGCTGCCATTCTTACTGGAGTGAGATGGTATCTTAGAGTGGTTTTAATTTGAATTTCTCTGATTGCTAGAGATGGTGAGCATTTTTTCGTGTATTTGTTGATTGATTGTATATCCTCCTCTGAGAAGTATCTGTTCAGATCCTTGGCCCATTTGTTGAGTGGGTTATTTGTTTTCTTGTTGTTTAATTTTTTGAGTTCTTTGTATACTCTGGAGATTAGGGCTCTATCTGAAGTGTGAGGGGTAAAAATTTGTTACCAGGATGTAGGCTCCCTATTTACTTCTCTTATTGTTTCTCTTGCTGAGAAAAAACTTTTTAGATTGACTACGTCCCATTTGTTGATTCTTGATTTTATCTCTTGTGCTATAGGTGTCCTATTAAGGAATTTGAAGCCTGACCCCATGAGATGGAGATTAGAGTCAACTTTTTCTTCTATTAGACACAGTTTTTCTGGTTTGATTCCTAGCTCCTTGATCCATTTTTGAGTTAACTTTTGTGCATGGTGAGAGAAAGGGTTTAAATCTCATTTTGTTGCATATGGATTTCCAGTTCTCTCAGCACCATTTATTGAAGATGCTATCCTTTCTCCATTACATGCTTTTAGCACCTTTGTCTAATATAAGGTAGTTGTAATTTTGTGGATTGGTCTCTGTGTCCTCTATTCTGTTATAACATTCTTGCTGCCAAAGACAGTGTCTAATTAAAGTGACACTAAATTTGAGATCTGTCTTTTTTATATTTGTAGCCTTATGCCTACCACGGTGCCCAACGTATAATAACACTAAAGATTTATTTAATTGAGCATTCTCTAATCTTGAAAACTATCAATAAAACAAGCAGCTGAAAATTTACCAAAAAGAGAAAGAATTACAGAGATACGAAATACAAACTATGTTTTGTTTTTTTTTTTAAATGGGCTCTCTTAACACTAATTTAATAACAGCAGTGTTTGAATTCCTGGGGTTTTTCTTGCTAACATTGAATATGTATTAATGATAGAGAATACATATTTCTTCAGTTGTCAGGACGAGAAGACTTTACCTATTTGGTGACATCTCTTTCCCATTACAGGCAGCACTTGAGCTCAGCCCTGATTCTAGCCCAATTGAAGAATCTCCTCCTTCCACTGGAAACCTCCTTGGTTGGGTCCCAAACCGAAAAGGCATAATTCACTGAAAACCTAGACAAGAAAGTTAAAATAATAAGGGAGGGAGTTATCTCCAATGAGTTATCTGAAATTATTAACTTTATTGTTTAACATTATTCTATATATGTTTATATACATAGAAACATTCTGAAAGTAACATTTTAAAATATCTATAAAAAGGTAAAATACTATATTACACAATTATCCATTACATACAATTTTAATTCTTGTAACAATTACAAGACAGCCACACTAAGTGATAAAAATAACCTATTCCCTTTAGTTAACATAACTGGACTATGGTTAATATTAATAGACTTCAAATCCACTACTGCTGTGTGGAAAAAAAAAAGTTAGTTTGACTTCCAGTGGTTGTAATCAACAAACTTACTCCATCTCTAACACCTCTCCACCTATCTACACTTGCTCTTCTCTTCCTCTGAGTTTCACACTCACCAAGATACCTTCAGCTACTCTTTCTCTTCCTATGATCATTTATTCCCCCCACCCTTGCTTCTCTACATTTACAATTCAGCAGAGTTAAGACAGTGGCCTTGAGAGGTTGGACTAATATGAGTTCAAATCTTAGTCTAGCCTTCTCCAACTATGTGATCTTAGTCAAGGTACTTAATTTATGTTTCTCAAAAGTTGTGAATAACATTATCAACTTCCAGGGTAATAGTGAAAATTAAATAATATGTGTAAAGTACAATGCCTAACACTTAAGTGCTCAATAAATGTTGACTTATTACTCAGCAGATGCCACTGAACATTAGTAAATATATATTAATTTACATTAGCAAATATTTATTAATGTACACCATGAATACCATATGATATATATGATGAATACACACACACACACACACACACACACACACACACACACACACACGAATAAACTGTCTATTGTTGCCTTTACTTGGAACTCTTTCCCCATCCATTGTTACCACCCTTCACTTGCTAGGGCCAACTTACTAAGCATGAATTTACATTTCAGTTTCTTAGAGAAACCTGTAAAACCCTCATCATCCAAGTTTTCGTAACACCTTTATTTCTGTTTTGTAACAGTGACCATCATTCTAATTCAGAGTTTCTCAAAAACATGATACCATTGTCATTTAGGACCAGATGATTCTGAGTTGGGGAAGGCAGACTTTCCTGTACATTGTATAATATTCTGTAGCATTTACCCACTAGATGCCAACAGCATCTTTCTCCCAACTGAGACAGTCTCCAGATATTGCTGAGTGTCCCCTGGTAAGGGAGAGAGGAAAAATTTCTCCCTGTTCGGAAACACTACACTAGTAGTTTATAAATGTTTTGTTTAGTATCCCCCATTCTATGTCTATCTTTGTCACCACTCTAATACCCATAACATTTCTTGAATAAATTTACATGTCTTCAACTATTAGCCCACAGAGGACAGGAAAAATAAAAAATGTCTTAAAACTGTTTCAATGCCTAGCATTCTATGCCTAATAAGTAAATGTTTATTGGTGATACAATAAAACTAAATTATTAAGGTTTAAGAATTTGAATATTATACAATGATTTTTATAGACTATGTCAATATCATGAAAAAAAGTGTTTTTCTCAATAATTATTTAGTAAAACCATAGTTAACTCTATGGTTTAGTCTTTCTATCTAAGTATTAAGTTTTAGCTAACTTGATCAAGGAAATATATACTTACCAAAATAGGCCGAGTCTGATTCCGGTAGAGGTGAATAAATCAATTGCTTCTACTGACCTTCCATAGAAAGCTAGAATTGCCGAAGGAATGATGATCAAATGTTCCAGCGACACCCAGAAATTATGACATCAGAAGATTCTTTCACATAGTTTCCCACCTGCTAAAGATCAAATGTCTCAACTCTAGCACCAAGTGAAACTTGAATAAAATTTAAGCTTTTCGGTGGGGGAGGGTGTAGCTTTATTCTTCTTGTCAGGGCCTTATTTTCCAACAATGTTAAACATTCTGACCTACAAATGAAGAGCTACAATCTAATTGACCTGCACAAAATCACGTGTGATTCTTCTCACTAATCCCATTTCCTCATACTCTTTATCTCCCAATAAACACAAATCATCCAATCTATCTATATCCTCATCCTACTCTAACACTCTCAAACCCAAACCAAATTTCTCTATAGCTCTCTTAAATGGGAATATTCGTTATACTCTGGACTATCTCTCTAATCTCTGGACTACCTCTTGTTTTTTCAAGAAATCCTAATTCCAAAATGGAAGAAATAATAACAACCCCAAAAGGAAGAACACATCTTATTCTGTCCTTGTTATTCTGTTTCCTTGTTACTGAGTTTCTTCTTTGCTGATCACATCTTTGCATTTCTCTGAATTGTTCTCCCTCTCCCAACTAGGTCTCCGTTTCTGTATCAACAGCTTAATAGCTTACTTCACTGAGAGTCTGCCCTACTCAGTAATGCTTAAGTTTAACACGGCAGAAAATTATTCTTCAGTTAATAATTTTTCAATTGTCATTGGTAATCATTAAACTACTAAATGCTAGTGAAATTTGATGAAAATCTTATTATTATCTACATAGTAAACTAAGTTCCCACTGCTATGAATTCATTATGTTATAAAAACTAGTATTTTATATAATAATCAGTTAGATAAAATCTTACCTCTACCTTCTTTTTTCTTACTAGGGTGTTATCTGTGAATGAGTTGATCACAATTTTAGTTTGGAGAAATCTAGTTTAACCCACTGTGTCACAGTCAGACAAACTGAAATAATTGCTGGCCATTGTTAGCTAATGCATCATTAGAACTTAAACATTTGTTCTTTAGGATGGCAAATTTTTTCAACAGTTTACAGGATGGAGAGAAGGTAGCAATGGAAAATGATAGATTTTGACATCAGAATTAGGTATGAATTTTAACACCATGTTAGCTCTGTAATTCTGAGCAAATCACCAAAAGTTTATATGGAAATGGTATTATAAATACAAAGTAAAATAATCTCCTTTGCACATATTTAATCCCTCTAATTTACCATTATCTTAACTAAATTAAACTACTTTTAATGAGCTAGTTGATCATTTGGTATAAATTATGCCACATTTCATTCATGGATACAGTGAAACCAAACCAAATAGTAGTCTTAATGATCAAACTTTACAGTACTTGAGTAACATCAAAAGACAAAATGAATTAGACTCTATAGAAGATCCTCACAGCTCAACTCAGTGGTGAATGCCTGTAATCACAGTGGCTCAGCCAACTGGGGTAGGAGGATTTCGAGTCTCAAAGCCAGAAACTGAGCAAGACCCTAAGCAACTTAGCGAGACCCTGTCTCTAAATTTAAAAAAATATATATATATATTTAAAAGGGGTGAGTGGGACTGGGTTAAGCACTCCTGGGTTCAACCCCTGATACAAAAAAAAAAGGATCTTTACAAAGCAATGAGTAAATAAATGAAGTATAAATGAGAGATACAAAAAGATTATGAAATCTCTTAAATAATCTCTCTTAACTATCATAAGCCCAAAAATTCTTTTGATTATTGGGATATTAATTAATGAGATGTCGAAAAGGAATAATGTTTGAACTTTCATATCCTAAGAAAATAGAACTATGATTACACTTCATTCAGCAAATATTTTCTAAAAATCCACCATGAGCTCTGCATGAGTTAAACATTCAGGATAAAAGACTGACTGAGCAAAAACAAACACATATTCTGCTCTAGTGAAGTTACATATTAGGGTAGGATATTTCTAGACCAGAATATCAAATCTAAATCTAAAGGATGAGTAGGCATTAACAAGGAGGAAAAGGGTAGGAGTCAAAGACACTGAGACAGGGAGGGGGGAAAACAGAGGAAACTATGTGCAAAGGTCACATGCTAATAAGACAATAAAAGATTTGAAAGGTGGCAAAAGCACAGCATAGAAAACAAAAAAAAAAAAGATATGGTCCAAGAGATAAGTACAGCCCAAACCGTGCAGGAGCATAAACTCAAAGATTTTAGAGCAAAGGAGACTGCTGAAGGATTTTAATTTCTCAGTACACATATGGAGGTTGTATTTGATTTTATTAATTTTGTTTTCTAATATATCTGATTTTCTACTCTACTATTTCCTTTCTTCTACTTACTTTGGGATAAATTTTTCTTTTTCTAGTTTCTGAAGGTGTAAGCTTAGTCACTGATTTGGGACTTTTTTCTTTTCTAATATAATCATTTAATTTCATAACTTTCCATTAAAGCACTACTTTACCTACATTCTACAAATTTTGAAATTTTCTATTTTAATTGTTAAAATTTTTCCTTTTGAAAAAATACATACTACAAATAATTTTAAATGCTTTCATCTTTGTTCTGAGTTATTTACAATTGTATTGTTTAGTTTTCAAACAGTTGGGAATATTCTACTTTTCTGTTACTTATTCCAGTTTAGTCACAGAACAAACATTCTTTGCTTGATTTGAATCTTTTAAAACTGATTGAGAATGGTTTTCTTGGCCAGATATGCACTATTGTTGTAAGTGTTCCATTTATACTAGAAAAGGATGTGTCTTTTGCTGTTAGGTGAAGTATTCTATGCAGGTAATTGGTTGACAAAGTTGTTCAATTCTTCTATAGTCCTATCTTCTTCATAATTGTTCTCTGATTGTTGAAATAGGGGCATTGAAATCTCCAACTATAATGGTGAATTCATATTTTTCATTTCAATTCTGCCAGATTTTGTTTCATTTGTTGTTATATGTATAAAAACATAGTATTGTTATGTTCTTTTGGCAAAATTAAACCTTTATCATTATAAAATGTCTTTGTTAATCCCTGATAATATTCTTTGCTCTGAATTTACTTTGCATGAAATTCAAATAGCTTCTTTCTATTGGTTAATGTTAGCATGATATGTCTTTTCCTATTTTATTTTTAACCTGTTTTATTTTCATATTCTAAGTGGGGTTTTCTTGTAAATAGTATATAGTTGAGTCTTGCTTATTTTATCCACTCAGTGAAAAACAAAGGAGTTTGAATTATTTACATTGAATGTAGTAAAAAAGTTTGAATTTAAACATGCCATATTGCTATTTGCCTTTTACCAGTTTTCTGCTGCTCCCCCTTTATTAAAATTTTGTATTTTGGATGAACTTAGTATACTTTATGAATTGATTTTTTTGCTGTCATTTGTTTATTTTTATACATCCTTGTATTTTGGTTTTGGTTTCTTCAGAGTTTATAGTATCATATCTTTTAACTTCTGACCTTCTGTCTTGAAATAAAATTATAACATTTCATGTATACTAAAAGAACTTGATTATAGGATATTCTATTTCCCCTCTTTGCTATGTATTTTATTGTCATTTATTTTACTATTATGATTACCATAATATTTAAGTTTTCTTTAATTATATTTTAAGGAGATTTTTTAAAAGAAGGCTTTTTACATTTACATATGTATTTGTATTTTCAATGTGCTTTGTACCTTTTGTGTACATCCACATTTTCACCTGACATCATTTCTCTTTTGCCTGAAGATTTTCATTAAACAGTGCTGATCTTCTGGTGATAATTCATGGAGCTTTTTTATTTATTTCATTTTCATTCTTGAACAATATTTTCTCTGGGTATAAAAATTTTTTTCCAGTGCTGAGGATTGAATCCACAGCATTGTACATGGTAAGCAAGCAACTCTACCTCTGAGCTGTATCTCCAGCCTAACTTGAAATTTTTAAGTACTTTCCACATTTTGTTCCACTGTTTTCTGGCTTGCATTGTTTTTTACAAGAAATCTGCTATCAGTTTTTCTCCTCTATGAATGTGTCTTTTCTCTCTGACTTCTATGTTCATTCTTCATTCACCAATATTAAGCAATTGGATTATAATGTGCTAGGTGTTGTTTTCTTCTTGTTTCTTCTTATATTTGTGGGTCCATCATTTTTATCACATTTGGAAATTTCACAGCCATGATTTTTCAAATACTCTTTGTTCCCTCCTTCTAGACCTCAAATGCATGTATCTTAAGCTGTTTGACGTTATACCACAGCTCATTGACCCTTCTTTTTTAGGAAAAAAAAAAAAAACCTCTTTGTTCTCCATTTTATTTTGGAGAGTTTCTATTGCTATGTTTTTCAAATTCATTACTTCTTTCCTTTGCAATGTCTAATCTGCGTTTTTTTCACCTAAATATTGTACTTTTCTTCCAGTTTGGATTTTGTTTGGTTGGTTTTCTTTTGGAGTTTTTTATCTCTTCCTAATGTTCTCATGCTTACTCTGCTTTCTTGAACATATGCTGTATATTTATAACTGTTGCTTTAATGTCCTTGTTTACTAATTCTTTCATTTGTGCACTTCCTGGTGTGTTTTTAACTGATTTTTTTTTCTTGTCATGGGACTGGTCTTTGCATACACAGAAATGTTTATTTGAATGCCAGACATTATGAATTCACATTACTGAAAAATTTTATTTTTAGTCCTCTAAGTACTTTTGAATTTTGGTCTGGGACACAGTTATTTAGAAACAGCTGGGCCTTTAGAAGCTTGGTTTTATGCTTGCTAAGGCTAGATTAAAACAGCCTTTCATCTAGAACTAGTTTGTCTCTACTATCTTTCTGAGAACTCAACTAAATGTTTCATGGATTATAAGAGCTCTTCACTTAAGGTATCTGGAATGTGAATAATTAGAATCATCTCTATGTGGCCCCTATGAATTGTTTTGTATGCTTATTTCCAGGGGCTTTAACCTCTGTCTTGGATAGCTTTTACATATGCATGCACTAATCAGTATTCATGAGCATTCCCTCAAAGATCTCCAGAACTTTCTTTTTCTATACTCTATCTCCTCTCTGGCATTCTGCTTTGCAAATTTCAATTGTCTTAGTCCCCCAGAATTCTCAATTTTGTCTCAATTCAAGGTACCATCAGGCTGTATTCTCTATTCATCAGGAAAGAAGTCGCTATGTGTATCCCAGTCTCCAGGAGTGAATAGGAGAATAGGAGAAGGAGATCATTGGGTGTCATCTTAGAAATTGCCTACCACAGATGCTGCAGGTCTGAGTATGTTTATACAGTACTAACAAACGTTCATCAAATATTTCTGAATTTATGAATTTCAGGAATTGCAATTCCTTGTACCTTATGATTATTTGGAGTCCACATAACTAGTTTTGGCCAATAAATTATTAGTGATTATTAGCTGCCAGTGCAAAACTTTCTTGATCTGTCTTTGTCTCTGCCATAAAAACCAGAAATTCTTCTCATGTAACATACAAAAATCAGCTGAAAGTAAATTAAATATTTAAAAATAAGATCTGAAATTATAAGACCACTAGAATAAAACTTAGGAAAGGTCCACAACATTGGTCTGAGCAATGATTTCTTGGATGGGACTCCAAATACCTAATCAAAAAAAGCAAAAATAGATAAGTGAGACTTCATCAAATCAAAAGCCTCTGCAAAACCAAGGAAATACTTAAAAGAGTAAATAGACATCCCACAGATGGGTAGAAAATATTTGCAAGCCATACATCTGATAAGAGACCAATATCTAAAATATATTATTAAATAACTTAATAAAGAGTAAACACTTAGTGTAATTTGAAAGTGGGAAAGTTATTGAAAAGACATTTCTCAAAAGAAGGTATAAAAACAGTGAACAGATATATGAAAAGATAGCCAACATCACTAACCATCAGAGACATGTAAATTAAAACCACAATGAGATGTATCACCTCACACTCTTTAGAAGGACTTAATAGTCCTTCTAAAAAAAAAAAAGTCCAAAAAGCCCAAAGATACCAAGTGCTGGCAAAGGACACAGAGAAAAGGGAATCCTTGTACAGTGTTGGTGGGAGTATAAATTAATATAGCCATTATGAAAAACAGTATGGAAGTTCCTCAAAAAACTAACAATAAAACTACTATATGATCCAGAAGTCCCCCTTCTGGGTATTCAGTAGTCTCCCCTTCATTTGTGAATTTACTTTTCACAGTTTGTTATCTGCAGTTAAATACAATCCAAAAATATTACATGGAAAATTTCAGAAAAAGACAATTCATTAAGTTTTAAATTGCACTTTCTGAGTTGCATGATGAAATCTTATACTGTCCTGCTCCATCCTGCCCATGAATTACCAGTTTGTCCAATATATCCTCCACAATGTATATGGTAACCACCTATTGGTCACTTAGTAGCTGTCAGTTATAAGATCCAACTATTGTGGTGTCACAGTGCTTCTGTTCAAGCATTTTATTTATTAATCATTTTATTTATTAATGGCCCTAAAGCACATGATATATGTCACTTTTATTACAGAATTGTGTTATAAAAGTTCTACCTTATTATACTAATAATTGTTGACTTCTTATTTGCTTCACTTACAGACACTATAAGTATGCATGTATAGAAAATATAGCATATTCAGAGTTTATTATTTCTACAAAGATAGTAATAAACTATCAGGCATCCACAGATAAGGGAGGAACTACTGAATATCCAAAGGAATTTAAATCAGTTTGTTGAAACAATATCTGCACTTTTGTGTTCTTTGAAGCATTATTTGCAACAGCTAATATATGGAAGCTACTTCACACTTTTAAAAATTATTCATTAGTCCTTTAATGTGATGCAGCTCAGGAGGCTGAAGCAGGAGGATCACAAGTTCAAAGCCACCTGCAGCAACTTAGTGAGGCCATAAGCAACTTAACAAGGCCCTGTTTCAAACCAAAAAACAAAAAGGACTAGGGATGTGGCTCAGTGGTTAAGTGCCCCTGGGCTCAATTTTTAATACCAAAAATATATATTTATATTTATATATAAATATATATTATCATATTTTTATATATTCATATATCATATATATGTGTATATTTATGTGTGTGTGTGTGTGTGTATATATATATATATATATAGAGAGAGAGAGAGAGAGAGAGAGAGAGAGAGAGAGAAACTACTTCACACTTTTTAACTATTCATTAGTCCTGAAGGTGTGTGTTTTGGTCTTCAACTTTCTCAGTTCTTTAACTCCATCTTATTTCATTTTTCATTAAATATATATTTACTATCTACTGTATACTAGGCAAGGTTCTTAGAACTACTGGTATAGTAGTAAACAAAGAAGGCAAGGCTCTGTCAGCTCTCAAGAGAGCTTATTTCTCAGTATATTATTTTAGCATCTTGTCTTCAAGTTCCTATTTTATTATATTCATATTCTTTTGATTAAGTTCTTCTATAGCACAGAGTATATATGCTAAATTTTCTTTTATCCCCTTAGGTTAGCTTTTGTTCCAGACCATGTATTTTATCCATATTTTGTATGCTATCCTACTTCCTTTTATAGTAACAGTGTGCATGACTCTCAATGATTTTTTTGTCTTGTTCATATTTAGCATGTGAAATGTCCAATCTGTTTTCTCTCTGTGTTAGTCAATTATCTCTCCAAGCCTACTGCACTAAAAAAATCTCAGTGGCTTCAGGCAAAAAAAAAAAAAGAAAGAAAGAAAGAAAAATAGAAAAAGAAACACTTTTTTTTACTTAAAGGACAGTGTATGGCTTGTTGTTCAGCTTTTCTTACCTTGACCAATCTGGATTTGCCTGTATTGAGGTATGGAAGGTTGTTTGACTCTTAAATAGAATCATCTGATTCCCTCCAGATACACCTTATCAATGAGATTTGTTAGTACTTTCTTAATTTAACTTCTTTCCCATGTGCATTTTCTGGAGAATAATGACTCCAGGAGTTGTAATAGGGGGACCGCAGAATACCAGATGAACTGGCACCGTAACTCATCAATACAAACTTATTCACATCACTACCTACAAAATTTGTTCATGTTTTCCAAATTTAGAAAGCCCCAAACTTTGGGGCTTCAACATTAAGAACTGAAGTGACACACTGCATCTCCACCCTGACTCCAAGCTTACCAATAAGAATTTAAAATTAAATCTAGTAATTACAAAAATTTCTTGATTAAAGGTGCTGATTATTACAAGATATTTAAATATTAAGGTGAAAAGCACAAATATGGGAAAGGCTCAGCCACATAACCAACCCATTTCAACAAAAAATTTATCAGCTATCAGAAAAATATATAAATATTATTAGTCTTGATGCAGGAATAAGGTGTTATAAATAATTGAATAGTATGGCTCATATTACCACACATTAATGTCACATAATTTTTTATTAAATGAAGAAGGTTTCTGTAGTTTCTCAGGATTTCTGTGTAAAATGTTAATTTCATTTGAAGTGCTTGAGTTATTTATTGAAATTTGATCTAATTTGATAAAAATTTGTGGCATTTTTTAATATTTGACAATTTTAAAGAGTTGGCCTTTCACTAATGCATGATTTTTCATTTTTTCCTCCTCTATCCCATCTAAACATTGTACTTACATCAAATGCTTTAATCCCATCTCTTCCATCAGACTTCTATTTACCTGGCTGCACCCTTGCCCAAAGAATGCACTTATTGTTGGCGCCGCCAATATTATTTCGAGTATTTCCTGCCCGTGTCTTCAATTGACTGTAAGCTTGTTGGCGCTAGATCTGTCTTAACTCCTTTTGAGTCCTCCAGGGGGCCTAGAAATTAATGTTAAGAGTATACAGCGCTCGACAAATACTGGTTGGGTCTCTGAACTTAGCTTTGTCCTTTGTGTCTAAGTGTACTTATTTTCGGTTGAGCCCTGGCACTGTGTATCCGTCCGGGATTTCTTTGTCCTCCTCGACAGTGCTGTTTTCTATTAGAACAAAGGGTTTGTCGGATCGCCACGCTAAAGGGAGCGTCCCGTGGAATCTGAGTAAACGGAATTTGACCCACTGCCCATATATTGAGACTGGGGACTAAGACTAAGCCTCTGATAGCCCACGCACAGTTTAACGACACATATTTAAAATACCACTCCAAATCCTGGTTATCCGTCAGTTACCCAGGCCTCCGGAGCTGCCGACGCTCAAAGATGTTGACAAGGCAGCGAGGATCTGCGGTCTGGTCGCTATGGTAACGGTGAGATGCAAGTGCGCTTGCGCGACCTTCTGACCGACCGCCCTCCGATTTCCCAAACCTAAAGAAGTGTTTAGCTACGGTAGCGACTTGCGACGGCAACGACTTGCGGCAGCAGCGTGACTTACGGCTGCCCCCTGGTGAGGAGCGGTTGCGGACGAATGAGAATGCGAGATTGGGTTCGAAGGTGTCCCGGGCGGGCTACCTTCCAAAATGACCCAGTCGGTGGTCGTACAGGGTGAGCTGCACCGGGGCATGGGGACTTGGTCGCCGCAGAGCTTAGCAGTCGTTTCCCTACCTAACGTTCATTCTTTTTGTTCCTCTCCTTGGTCGCAGTTGGCCAGTGCGGAAACCAGATCGGTTGTTGCTTCTGGGACCTGGCCCTGAGGGAGCACGCCGCGGTCAACCAGGTACTGGTACCCGCCGAGTCCCCCTTGCCTGTCACAAAGAGCAAAACAAAACCAGAAATTGCTTTATTTGAGCACTTATCTGGATATATGAGATCTTGTCAGTGAAGAATGTGACTTTTTTTTTTAACGTATGTTGCTACTAGACACACACCAGTCTAAAAAAACACTGGCCAGAAACCTTAGTCATAAAAGTTTTCCTGATTCTCAGGGTGTCCAATTTTTTAGTGTTCTTGTAAAGAGCAGTAAGTATGTGAAAGTACTTTATAATATAGGTTACACATGTGATTATTAACTAGTCCACTTGTCAAATGATCACCAAGAATCCAGAGAAAACTCTGATTTTTGGAGAAAACTCTCCAATTCTATGGAGAAGTCTTTCATGACTGCCTGCTGAACTCAACCTATAGATCTCTTTGCATTTACTCTGTACTACAGAAGTCAGAGAATCAATCTAAACGTTTTTATGATGCTTGCATTTTATTATGACCATTTACTAGCCATTGCATCATTTAATAACAAGAATTATTAAAATTGAAAGGACTTTATTTGGACAAGAGGCAAGACTTAAATTCTATAATTTGTTTTCTTTTTAGAAAGGAATTTATGATGAGGCAATAAGCAGCTTCTTTAGAAATGTGGATACCAGGTAAGATGGTATTAAAGTCTTAGCATGATGAACCTTTCTTTTCATGTCAGCAGATTAGGAGAGAATGCTTTAAAGGACAATAAAAACAGTTGATAGCTATAAATTTTTCTGGCTTTTTTGCTTTTCTCATTGAAAACATTCTCATTTTATCATTAATACTCTTCTGTATTCTGCAGAACAGGACAACAAATTTCCTTTTCAGGCTTTATTGAGGAGCAGAAAGAACCTTCAGTGTGTTTCTTTTAGCTTAACCTTGAAATAAATTTTCACTAAAGCTGAAATTTTCCCTGATAGTATCTTGTTAATCCATCTAACAATGGCTAACTTTTGAAAGTATTCTTTACATTTCCTTGATATGATTTGTGATCAGGAATACTTGCTCTAAGTATAGAATGTGCTAAAAGGAAAAAAGATGTGTAAACTGCTTGTAATCAACATTACTTTTGTTTCTTTAATGAAGGATATATGTATCATAAATCTTTTATATGAAAGAGGAATTTGATATTCAGGATATGTCCATAAGCTTTTAATGTTTAATCACTAAGTTTATATATTTTCAAAGTACTTCCCAAAACTAACTGTGGTTTATATATTTTCAAAGTACTTCCCAAAACTAACTGTGGTGGACTTTCATTGAAAATTATTCTCAATATCAGTCTTTAATTCAATAAAAACTCTAGTTCTAGTCTGAATTAATTGTCTCAGTGTTTGAACCATTATTTTCTAGTAAAGGCTAATTACTCTTCACTTTGTTAGTGAATTCTAGGGCCTAGTGCTCAGGCATGCAAACTCAGAAACCTTGTTGTTTGCACCTTGAGAATGGATCCATTGCTCTCCAGTATAATCAGATTAACCCAAACTGAAAAAAAAAGAAAGAAAGAAAGAAAGTGAAAAGTCACTGTAATAATGGACAAGGAAAAACTATAACTCAGAGAAATTATATTCACATTTTTTCATCATAGACAAATTCTCTTTTGTAGGAAATCTACCAGATAATCAGAAGGCTTTTTAGTGACCATGGAATTAGATTAAAGGAAGTTAGGAGTGTTATCTTTTTTTTTTTTAATATTTATTTTTTATTTATTTTTTTAAAGTGAACACAATATCTTTATTTTATTTTTATGTGGTGCTGAAGATCAATGACTGTTATCATTTGTCTTTAGTATATGGAAATAGCTATTATAAAGACTGATTCCATCTTATTTGTGGCCCAGAACATCCTTTCCCCTAAATACTATTAGGAAGCTCAAATCTGCCTTTGTAATATTTCATTCAAATGCTTCCCTAGCTAATTAAGTTCCTACTCTCACCCCTTTCTTTCTTGATAGACAATAGTTTCATTACATTACATAGTTGAGACTCAGCCTGGGAGCTTTTCTTTCTTAATACTTTATGTAATGGAACTCATATATTCTGTGTGTTGTATACTTTAACCTGAAAACACTCTTATTTTCCCAAAATCAAGTTTGGGGGAGAAGAAGAGGGCTGGGGTGGAGCACCTTGTTCTTTCTGTATACTTTCAACACATGAAGCTTCTGTTCTACAAATGGATACCAAAAAAATCCTTCAAAAATGAGGCCACATCTTCATGTACATTTCTTTATCAAATTATACATTTTTAATAGCATGATAGAAACTTATAGCAGGAGTTGGCAAACATTGTCCATAAGTACCAGATAGTAAATATTTAATTTATAAATCATAATGTGCGTGTCATAGCTACTCCAGAGTTTTTATAGCATGAATGCAGTCATTAATAGTACACAAATAAATGGGTATGGCTGTGTTTGAATAAAACTTTTAGAATAGGCAGCTAGTTAGATTTGTCCTGAGGATGGCAGTTTACCAATTCCAGGCCTGTAGTATCTGCATTTAACTCTGCTTCCTTTCATATAATCTGCTTTTTGTGTACTGTCTTTATTGACCTATACAAATGTTTGGTTATCGATTTCAGTACTTCAGTAACATTTTTAATATGAAATTCTAGGAACAGTCTTAGTTTCTCAAAGGTTATATAACTGGTATATCAGTTAATGGGTGTTTGACTGCAATAGGAAACCTCATTAATGGTAGCTTAATCAATAGGGGTATTCATTTATCTCACAAAGAAATCTGGAAATAGGATTTTCAAAGGCTGGTGAAATGCCTCAAAGGCTTGGATACAATATGTTTCCCTATTCTTGGTATATTAGCTTTTTTTCCACCTGTTTATTACTTCATGACTAAAAAATGCATTCTCTTCCCCAGGAATCACATCCACAGTCATGTTTGAGGCAGGAAAAAGGAAGAAAGTTGGAACCAGCTCCATTGGGTTCTTTTTATCAGAAAAACTTCCCCAAATACCTATCCTTTTATCTCTTTGGTTGAAACTATATTACATGGCGTGTCCTAACTATAAAGAAAGCTAAGGAAATAGTTTCTCACTTTCTCAGCCTAATAAGAGATAGGCCTGTCCTATAACTAGCCTTTTTGTATATATGGAAGTTTACATTATTAGCCATGGAAGATCTTATAACCTTTTTTATTTTTTATTTTTTTCTTTCAGAGTGGTTGGTGGTGGTGGCAGCATTTCCAAGGGGAAGATACGTTCTTTGAAAGCACGAGTAAGATATATATATATGCTTGACATTCCATGTGTTTTTTAAAACAACTGTTGTTTCTCTAATTTGACCATAAAGTTTTAGTTTGACTTCTTGAAATTTAAAAAAAAATTTACTAAGCCATGTTAATATTAATAAAACTAAGCAGACATTTGTGTCCACCTGAAACAATAAGGGGCAATTTTCATACTTAAACACTAGATATAGCAATTTGTTTCATTGTTTCAGGGGAGCTATATATCTAGATAAATAATAACAAAAGAAGCTTTTTTAACTCTTAAGAACATGAAAAGCAATAAATACAAGTTAACTTTTCATTTAAAGATAATGGAAAATTAATTTTCATCAGGATTATTACCAATTCAAAACATGGATCCATCCACATTAAAGTGAATAAATTCATAAGCATATAATTTCTCCTGAATAAAAATGTTTTGAGTCAAAAACCATATGTACAGTTTTAATCTCATTCCAGCATTTCTGTGATTGTTTCTGTACAAACTGTTTTCTGATTGCTGATTAGTAATCAACAATCTTGATTATAACCAGAAAGAATGGTAGTTTAAATGCTGTGGAAGAATTTGAGGTGCTAAGGGTTCAGACCCGATATAATGACAGAAATACTGGAGAGCTATAGTGGTATGGCATCTGGAAACCATTTCTTGTTCCTTTGATCTCTGATGTCCTTGAAAGCAAAACTTAAGGTAGAGATAATATGCTTGTAGACTGTTAGAATAATTGGCTTAAACTTGATGTACTTAATGGTGTAGAGAGAGCCAGCATCACAATCTAAACCTTAATAGAGACTTTGACATTTCCCGGATTACTCCCAATTTGACCTCTTTCCAACCACTATCAGTGAGCAAGGTGGGAGGTAGAAGAAGCACTATTAGGAAAGAATGTAATCAGCATGCTGAAACTTGTAACTTTCCCAGAGGGTACTCTACCATTTTCTGCTTAGGAAGTTCTGGTATTATGTGGCTATGATCACTGAGGTGTTCAGACTTTGCAAGATAACTTGGTACTTGGGTGCCTTCATAGTGTCCAGTATTTCAGGTTAATAGGCAAATACTCATAATTTTGTAAATCTTATTATTACAATTAGGAAAAGGCTGTAAGCCTATTACCATGTGGCTCTGAAAGGAAATATAAACATTCCAAGTCCTAGAACAGTTGTGACTCCAGACTTTGGATGCCTAATTGAGGAACCCAGAATACTCTCAGGATTTAATTAATTTCCAGAGGAAAAACAAATCAAGGACTTGATGTGACTAAGGAAAGATTGAAAGAGATATATAAAGATTTTAATGCTAAGTGACTAGAACAATGATTCTACTAAGAGGGGCCTAAAGGTCAGTTTGTATTCTGCTTATTTCTTCCCTTGCCAGATAGTGAGGTAATCAAGAGTGAAATTCATGTACCTTTAATAATTTTTCACAAATCATCTCAATAAATCTGTTTTGGAACAAAACCAATATAAGCTGATTTGTTCTCTTTATAATCTGATACAATATATAATGCTACAAATTGCCCATGTAGTAAAATCCTTCTTGTGGTTGATAAGGTATTAAAGCAAGCAGGTAAGATAAGAGTTGCATGTTGTCAGAAACACCCAAAAAAATCCCTAAAATTGCCAGTACATAACCCTATGTAGTCCTATGCATGTAAAGTATATATATAATGATTGCTGTATATAAGAGGGGTACATTTATAACACATGGTTTTATAGTCTGTGTAATATTCTCTATAATTTACTTGTACATACAATAGTAAGTCGCATAGTTAATTACATAAATTTACAGTTTGGTTTGTTTTTTTAAAATACTGGAAATTGAATCCAGGGATGCTTTACCACTGAGCTTTTTTTGTTTTGGTTTTTGTTTTTTATTTGGGTTTGGTTTTAGTGATTTTTTTTCTCTTGGTTTATTTTGTTTTGGTTTGGGTGCTAGGGATTGAAGCCAGGATCTTGTATGTGCTAAGCATACACTGTCACTGAGCTACACCCCCAGCTCTCATCGTAAAGTATGTGGAAAGTAAAGTATAAGGAAATGGGAAGAGGGGACACATAATCCTACTGCCAAGCTATTCCTGCTTACATTTTGCCATATTTCCTTTCAGTTTTTTTGTTCTATTTTTTCTTTCTATGCTTAAATTTATGTTTTATATTTTTCTTCTTAGTATTGTAAAATTTTGTGATAATGAATCAGATTGTGAATTACTTGGAGAAAGGGACCCTCTTGTCATGTTTGATATCTGTCTAGTGCCTTGACTTTTGCACATAATAGTGACTTTACTTATTTGGATTGAATGATTGGGCCATGATGCATAAAGAACACCATGGCTGCATCCTATGTTTGTTTAGAACTTTTTCTGGTTAAGGTTACTCTCTATACTTCTAAGACCTGGTTAGATTTTCAGTTGCAATGATTATTGGGTTCCTTTTTCCCCCAGTTGGCATATTAGAGTAGGACAAAAGTTCAGAATCAACCTTGTAATTGAAGTCTATCTTTAGAGGAGGGTAAGATTACTTTTTAATTCTTAACAGATTCTATATAAAGAAAGATTTTGATTAAACTTAAACTATAGAAGGAATAATGCAATTTACAGCTAATAAATTCATTGACAGAGAAAGTAACTCTAAAGGAAATGCCTATTTTATTTCTCTTTTTTAGGCTGTCTTGATTGACATGGAAGAAGGGGTAGTGAATGAAATTCTTCAGGGACCATTGAGAGATGTATTTGATAGCAAGCAGCTCATCACTGATATTTCTGGCTCAGGAAATAACTGGTGAGAATATGCTTTATATAAACATTGAATGTTATCTGAAAAAATTAAGCATTCTTTATTTGGTTGGGTCCGCTGATATGAAAGCAAGATATACTATTTTACAGACAGAGCTAGGCCTTTCAGCCCTGTCTTCTTTTTTGTAATAAATGATGGTGTTTCACAATGCTTCAAAGCCACATGTATTTACTTTTACACCTAGTTTCTTTTACCTTTTTTTTTTTTAAGAAAAAAAATGAATCGGGAAAAACTGATTTTCTAAATTCTTCTTTGTAAATTAAGTCTCCCAGTACCCCCCTAAACCCCACCCAGCTTATACCCAGGGGCACTTTGCCCCTATTAATTTTTAAATTTTTTTTTTAACTTGTGTGTATGTGTGGTAATGGGGATTGAACCCAGGGGCACTTTACAACTAAGCCACATCCCCAGCTTTATTTTGAGACAGAGTCTCAGTAAATTGCTGAGATTGGCCTCAACCTTGCCATCTTCCTGCCTTAGCCTCCCAAGTAGCTGAGATTACAGGTGTATGCCACCATGCCCTGCACAGATTTATTCTTATGTAACACTAAGTAGTAACTGAAGTTTAAAGTACTTTTATAAGCTATTTTCTTACTTTCATTATTTGAAAGTTCTCCATTTGGTCAGAGTTAATAGAATTGATAAAAAGATACAAGTCAGACCTGTCTCCTAGCATACAGGTCTGACTTACCTTAAATGGAAACAAAAAATGGGCAATTAAAATCTTATTTTGTTATTATATCTCAAAAGAAAAGTTGAGAAGATGAAATTAGAAAACCATAATTTAGGATCCTTTGCTAATGAGTTATCTTATTAGGATATTTGAGGATTATACATAAGTAATATATATAAAATTTTCTATCTAGTATCTTCAACATAATGCAGTATGACTTACCAAAGCAAGAATAGATTTTTACTTACTATAATTAAAATGTTTTTAAGTTTTTTCATTATCTTTTTATTTAGAACAGAAATAATTAAATCAGAAAGTAATAAATGCAAGGATTTTATTTTCCTAAATCTGTACTCTTATTTTCAGGGCTGTGGGGCACAAAGTTTTTGGCAGTCTTTACCAAGAACAGATTTTAGAAAAACTCAGAAAGTCGGCAGAGCACTGTGATTGTTTGCAGTGTTTCTTTATAATACACTCCATGGGAGGAGGTAAAGTTATTCACTCATTTGACTATAACAATGTTAAAATCCAAATGGGAATTCAATTTGCAAACATAAGTCTTGCTTTCAGACCTATGCTTGATAAAGATATCACTATTTAGAGTATATGCGTGTGTTTGAATGTTTGTACATTACAGCTTACCTTAAAATTCTGTAAAATTGGGTTACTAGTACAAGTTTTGTTTTTAAGTCCTTTTTAAGAGACAACAGAGCTAAATTGGAATTTTTTTTCTTTTATCTTTAGCTGCTTTCATAAAATTTTCAGCCACATTTCAGTATATAAGCATTTTGGGGGAATACTTATTTTTTCTCAGAGTTTGCTTGTTCAGTCTTACATTCTAACCAGGACTAAGCATTTCTGACACATTATAATTACTTACCAGAGAATATCAATATACCTTTTTTTGGTCCTAAATATTAAACCTGGGGGCACTTAACCACTGAGTCACATCCTCAGACCTTTTTTTTTTTCTTTTCTTTCCTGAGACAAGATCTCACTAATTTTCTGAAGCTGGCCTCAAACTTAATGATCCTTCTACCTCAGCCTTCCACATTGGATTATAGGCATGTGTCACTATACCCAGCATCAATATACTTTCTTTAACCACCTCCACAATTTTCTCATCTCCAATAAGAAAATAAAAGTAAATTCTTTCCGTTAATTTCTTTAAATCCTCTATTACATGGTAATTAATGCACTTAAACTAGAAATATATGATCTACATATCTTTCTTTGCCCAGGGACATTTGTAACTTAGAACTGAAGTATTTTGTTTCCTTGCTTCATAAATTAGAAACAGAATATAATTTGCTAATTTTAAAATAGGATTAACAGATTTTTAAAATTCCATACTTTTTCTCTCCAAGCTGAAATTGATTTTATATTCAGTACGTTATATATGATTGACATGTCTTTATTCACTGTTATGTCATTTTAAAATTGTATTTACTGTGTAACCTTGTCTTTAGAAGACCATCATAATCAAGACACTTTTATCTTTGAATTAGTATAATACATTTGTGCCACCATAGCTATAGGCAATATTCCCAGAAAGGAAGATGGGACCAATATGAACTTTTTCATTTTGGTTGGTATCGTTAATATACTTTCCTACAATATTGTATATATTTATATTAGCCACAATATATAAGTTTCCACTTCCCTACACTGCTATTAAAGACTACCTAAAAAAATATTTTTCATATAGTATTTCTAGCATCATAGCCTTTTCATATTTATCTGCGTAAGTTAGGTCAATGACATGAAACTTTTTTAACCAGAATAAAAAGAAATACATTTAACATCCTAACACAACACTCCCCTACACACACACACCCATGCGCACACATGGACTGAAACAAAAGATTCAGAAAACCATATTTACTTGTAATATGTGATGCATTGATTCTTCTTCCTCATTCAAGAAAAGAAAAATATGAGTAATAATCTAATAAATAGTTTATGACTCACTAATAGTTCACATTCTACCATTTAAAAAACTCCAATTAGAAGATCCTAACTTTCTCTTAAAGTTCTTAAAAATTTCTGAATTTACCTGTGTGCAGTGACACACACCTGTAATCCTAACAACTCAGGAGATTGAGACAAGAGGATCTGAAGTTCAAGGCTAGTCTGGGCAACTTAGTGACACCCTATCTCAAAAAGGGCTGGAATTTAACTCAGTGGTAGAGCACCTCTAGGTTCAATCTCCAGTACCACAAAAGAAAAAAAAAATCTGAATTTATATAAATGTAATTTATGCATCAGAAAAGAGTCTTACTGAATTGCTTAGCACCTCGCTTTTTCCTGAGGCTGGCTTTGATCTCACGATCTTCCTGTCTCAGCTTCCTGAGTAGCTGGGATTACATGTCTGTGCCACTGTGCCCAGCTTGACTCATTTTTTTAAGTTACTTAATGGCATGACAGTTTTCTTCGTTATTAAGATTGTATGAGTACTATACCAATGCTGTCAAGATAGGGTTTTTTCCCTTCTAAATTGCTTGATATTAAGCGTACTTTGAATACTGTCTTAGTTGAATTTTTCACTGTTCAGTTCTCTTGACATCTAATGGTTTAGATATATGAAAAAGTGAAATATAGAAAGCTATCCCAAACTCATAGTCACAATCAGAGATGGAATTCAGGACTTTGAGTCTAACTACCCATGTGCCCTTTATCTGAAATTGGATTAGCTAATACATAATCACACAGAAATAAGTTTTGAAAATTATTTCTACAAATAAAACAAAAATTCCAAGTTCCTCACAATTATATTCTGAATCATTCATTGCTATTTTCATTTTGAAATTTTAATCCTCAGGAACAGGATCTGGACTTGGTACATTTCTTTTAAAGGTTCTTGAAGATGAATTCCCAGAAGTATACAGATTTGTGACTTCAGTTTATCCTTCTGGTGAGGATGATGTCATAACTTCACCTTATAATAGCATCTTGGCAATGAAGGAACTTAATGAGCATGCAGACTGTGTGTTGCCCATTGATAATCAAGTAAGAAATGACATTGGAACTTATGGACAAAGTTTATGTACACTTACACCTGTATTATGCTCGTGCATTTATATGAACCGTGCTCTTCAGTATTAAGCATTCTAAGAGAAAAAAAAGAGTTTAAATTGTTTTTCTTTCTCTTCTTTCCTAGTAGCTCATCTGTGTCCACTCTTCTTAATAATCTCTCAAATTTTTCTCTCAAAAGTCTTTATTTGACATCATTAGCAAAATTGACCTCATGGTGAATTCTGGAAAGTTGGGTAAAACCGTGAAGCCCAAGAGTCTGATTACTTCAAGTGCTGGGACTTTTAAAAAGCAGCATAAGAGGCCCTTTGATGCAATGAACAACATTGTGGCAAATTTGATGCTTAACCTAACAAGGTAACCCTGTCTAAAAACATGACTATGCTTTTGATGATGTTTTAGATTTTTGTAGATTTAGATTTTATTATAAGTTGTGGGAACTTCTTTATTATATTCTTTCATCTTATATTTTTGTCTCTTGGAATGATAGATCAGATTTTAATTCCTATGACTGTGAAGCAGCTTTCTACAAGTACATTTTATGAAATATTAGTGGGTATTTGATAGTAATGATTTTGTGGTAGATGCACTGGAGAAGTACTTGTTCAAACAAAATTAAGATTTGTTTTGCTATAGAACATTTTAATCTCTTACACCACCTACTAATATATAGCTCTTTGTTAGCTGATACAAAAGATTTCCATAACTTTGATCTCAAAGATTTATTCAACATTATTGTATTGCAGATTGTAGAATGAATCAAGTATATTAAAAAAATTATTAAAATTTCTACAATAATTATTGACCTAAAGTCTGTTTTAAATAAAATACTTTGTATAATGAGCAGGTTTAATAGTATGTAGTTACACTTTAGGTAATCTAGAAATAAGAATTGCTATAGATGCTATATTTTGTATTTTAATTAATCCTTACAATTATTTGTGATACTAACTCTCAGTAATTACCAGAAAAAGAGCTATATCCAAACAGAACAGTGTACAAAATATTTGAGAAAATGCCTGCCAAATAAGTCAAATTATATTAAAAGTGTATGTTTTTAAATTTAAGATGTTTTCTCATTGTTTTAATGTCAAACTTTTAGCTCTTCAAGGTTTGAAGGATCCCTTAACATGGACATTAATGAAATCAGCATGAATTTAGTTCCTTTTCCACAACTTCATTATCTTGTGTCAAGCCTAACACCTCTATATACACTGGCAGACATTAACGTTCCTCCTCGGAGGTAAGATGTAACTTAATTTCAGTTTCTTCAGAACTTTACAAACTTTTAAAGAAAATTTAAGAGAAAAGTTTATAGTAATTGTAATTATGTCATTTTATTTGTGAGAAGTGTATAAAATACAGTTGATAACAGCCATTTTTTCATTAGATGAATGCTTGTTTAGAAGTAATCATTTAAAAATATCAAACTATTTGAAATTAAATCCAATGGTATAATTTTTAGGCTTTTGGGAGTTTTAAAATTAAAGTTTACATCAGTTTATTTACAGACATTGTGGTTTTAAGGTAATCTTATCATGTACAGTGATGATGAGCCTGAAAAGTTCACACTGGCATTTACAGTTGAAAGGAAAAAGATCCTGCCAAACTCTGTAGATAGTACGTATAGATTCCAGAGCCTGGAATATATAATAAAACTAAAGATTCCTTTTTATAGTTAAGATTCTGGCAAGAAAATGATTGTATGGTGCATAAATATTATAAGTGACATTGATAAACTTTCATTTGAGCCAGTAGCAACCAACCAGTTGTACCAACTAACAAGTAGAATTTCTTTTCTGCATGGGATTATAATGGCCTTGTCATGTATGTACCATATACAGTGTATGAAACATGTTGATCATTGAATGTTTACTACTATCAGCCCAGCATATTAAATTAGTATATTTAATAAGTAGAATTTACACTTTTAATGTGGACACACATCCCACTAATTATAATAGCTCCTCACTAGTTTTTGAATCTTACAAGAAAATAACCTATGTGTCGGCCTGCTTGTTGTGTGAGGGCTCTTAATTTCTTCTGAGTATCAATCTCTAAAGTAATGTCTATAAGTCAACTTCATAAAAAATGCTCAAATCACATGCATTCCAAAATTTTGAACATAATCACAAAGGATTGAGGAAATTTCCAAAACTCACCAGCCCTTTTAAGGAGTCTGCCCTCTCTCCTTCTGTGGAGTAATCAGCATAGAACATAATCTTCATTAGGGCAAGAAGTTTTGTTTTGTTTTGGGTGGTGTGTTTTGGTTTTGGTTTTGGTTTTGATGCTGAGGATGTATGGAACTCAGGGCCCTGTGTCTGCTAAGCAAAAAATTCTATCACTAAGCTGCATCCTCAGCCCAGGAAATTTTTACTGTATTCACTGCTAGCTCTCTTGTGCTTAGAATAGAGCCTGGAATATATAATAAATACTAGATAAATAAATAGCACAGATTTTTGCAACTCTTCCCACTTATTCTGTAGGTTCAGCACATAAAAGTCTGGCTAGAGTTAATCTCAGTAATCTCATCATATTTGTATTGAGTTAAATGGTAATTAAGAACTAAAGTGGGGTCAGTTCAGGACCTAGAATTTGTACATTGTTAGATACAAACTATCAGTTACCTTTTTCTTCCTCTTTTTAACCGAAGACATTCCTATATTTTTTTTTATCCTTCAAACACAAGACTTCAGTTTAAAGTCTTCCTCTTTAGCAACATTACTACAGAGTTTAATCTTGCATAGGAGCATCACATTGTCCTTTGATAGTTTCCTCCTAATAATTAATTTATTTATGATGTATTTTACAAAATAATGGTCTTAATATGGCTTCCGTTAGTTTTAATAGTTGTGATACTAAGACTATTGAATTAGATAAGCATGTTCAACTAAGCAAAAATGATACAAGTTTCAGAAATTACTACCACATTGAGCTAATGCTACTCAACATTTTGTAATTACCTAAAATCACCAATATACTGAAAAAGATTTAAAAACCAAATGAAAAAGATGTTACATAATTATTCCTAATATTTACCATCAAGATTGCTTTGAGAGAATGATAGATATTTTATATATTTAGAATACATGGTATATATTCTAATTTTGGTATAGTATTAATTATTTTTTACCTATGGATGACTATCTTCTCATTTTATAATAACATTAAAAAACTTTTTTTTTTTTAATAAACAGTGACTCTTTATTGTTCTAGGTTGGATCAGATGTTTTCAGATGCCTTTAGTAAAGATTACCAACTAATTCAAGCAGATCCCAAACATAGCCTATATCTCGCCTGCGCCCTCATGGTTAGAGGAAATGTACAGATTTCAGATCTTCGCAGAAATATTGAAAGGTTTGGTTTCCATTTTTCAAGATAATTTATTTGTACTGCTTGGAACAGTGTAACATAGTAGTTAAAACAACCTCTCCTCAAATTACAGTGATGTCACTTCCTCAAGTATGACCTTGAACAAGTTACTTAGCCTTCCTGTACCTTATTTTCTTTAAGTGTAATGTAAGAGTAGTAATAGTACAAAGTTGTTATTTATGAATATTATGTGATACATGTTCTGAAAGTGTTCAAAAATTGTACCTAATATTGTTCTTATTACGAACACTATTACTACACAGCTTCTGTGTTTATACTCTATTTGACAGTTTATTATTAGAAAAACTACATCATTGAATTACAAAATTATAATACCCTCATTTCTTTTTATATTCAAATTTCTAATCTTTTTTTAAATAATTTTTTAGTTGTATCTGGACAGAATATCTTTATGTATTTGTATGTGGTGCTGAGGAAAGAACCCAGTGCCTCACACGTGCTAGGCAAGCACTTACCACTGAGCCACATTCCCAGCCCAGATTTCTAATCTTAAAGGATATATTTCTAGCTTTGTCAATCACCATCATAGCTGAATTAATGTCTTCCTAATAATGTCTCTTAGCTCCCTATCATATTGTCCCATGATACTGTTAATAGTTTTTTTAAAAAGGATAACTTAGATTATAAACTAAGCAATTAGAATCGTACCATCAGTAATGACTCTGTTTAATGTGCACTACCATCACGTGGTATTTTTGTATCTCAGTTCTTACCTTTTTTTTGTATTTCAGATTAAAACCTTCTCTACATTTTGTCTCCTGGAATCAAGAAGGCTGGAAGACTAGCCTGTGTTCTGTACCACCTGTGGGCCATTCTCATTCATTATTAGCTTTAGCAAATAACACATGTGTGAAGCCTACCTTTGTGGAACTGAGAGAGAGATTCATGAGGCTCTACAAGAAAAAGGTAATCATTCACCTTCCTAGCTGTTTGTTGTGGCTCTTTTAGGTGTATCACATTACAAATAAGGACCAACCTCATCTACCATTTTGTTATACTGACTATAACTGAAGTGGAGAAGCTTACTCTAAATGAGATGTATTGCCTGAGTGTATAGGATTTAGGCAAAATATTTGACTGAAGTTCTCATTTCTGTTGTGAAGCTGAACGTGCTATAATTTTAACAGTATTTACCTTATAGGACAGTTACATGTATTAAAGTCCCTGGAATGGTAATTGTTACCCACTTTTGTATTTATAGGCTCACCTCCATCACTATCTACAGGTTGAAGGGATGGAGGAGAGCTGTTTCACAGAAGCTGTGTCATCTTTGTCAGCTCTTATCCAGGAGTATAACCAACTAGATGCCACAAAGAGCATGCCTGTGGAGGACTTCCCTAGGCTAAGAGTAGCTGTGTGAAAAAGAAACCAAGAAATATGATTGTCACTTTTTCCTAATTTCACATTTTTTTTTTAGCATTTTTGTGATTTAGAAAATTCACTGTTTTTCATATCAGAGTATTGTCTAAAAAAGAGTGGTTTCTGTTTAATCACAATTCATTGATACCAGTGTGTGAAATTAGTAAATCCCATTACCTTCACTATAAGCAGTTTATAAAATAGAGAGAACAGAGTTCTTTAACAATTTGCTTTTGCTTTATTTATTGCCTAATACTTGTACACCAACAATCATGTCTTTGGTAAAAAAAAAAAAAAAAAAATCTTGTACAGATATACTTTTTATACTTATTTATATTTATATTTTGATATTGTTTAAATTGATTCTTTAAAATATTTCTTTATATAGTAGGAGTTGAAGAACATAAAATATAAATATTTCCATGTAATATCCACTAACTTCAGAGACAGGCTTTATTATAACTGTTAAAGAGATTGTATTTCTTCTATAAAAAACTTGTTTATATTATGTTTTAAATTATTTTTAAGTATCATTGCTTTTTTATCAATCCAGTTGATTTTGTAATAAATGTACATATTTTCAAACAGTACTATTTGTTATTTTACAAATCACCAGTATGTAAGTAAATAAAACATTACCAAGCTTCACTGGCTATTTAATAGTCTATTGAAGTTGTTCCAATTACTATAGTCTCCACTTTGATTCTTTAACATTAGTTTTAGTCATATCATTTAAGGAAGTGATTTGTAGGAACAGTTTGTTTTCAAGACAAACTAATCTGTTATGTGCTTTCTTTAGTGTTTGCTTTTAAGTTTCCTTTGCAAAGTAATACTATTCTTGGTCTTTTATCTTGGAAATTTAGTTTTTCATAGTATTCAGTAAAAACATTTATAGTACATTTGTTAACAGTAGCCAAAGAAGCTTTATTTTCTCTTTCCCAAGAGAAATCTTTACTGATAGTATAGGGCATTAAAAATTATGTTTATAGTTTAATCTTATTTTCCTATTCAGGAATACAGAATCTTGTTTGCCCTATAATGATTATCTGATAGAAGCCTACATATTGCCACATATAGATTAAATTTTTAAAATTTAATATGCCTTTTTACACCTCATTAGCAAATATTCCAGATTATTTTGTAGAACAAAATATTTCCTTATAAATTATGCTTTTATTATATATGGACTGCTTGTGTGGTACCAAAATTATATCATTATAGCATATATTTTAAAAATGAGTTCAATTTCAGGTTTTTCAAGTTTTACATATATTTTTAGAACCTCTTTTAGATAATTTTGGTATCTTCAAAGCAGTTACCAGAGAATATTATGTTTTAAAGTATTGCCAACCTTTTATAAGCACTCTAGTTTTTTGATTATATGACATGACAACTAACTTTAGCTTTACAGAATCAAGAGCTCAGAAAACATATCTCCAGGTTCCCTGCAATTTCTTTGACATACACACGATGTAATCCAGAGCATCTTCCACTTAAATGAGCCTTCATTTGGGCAATCAAATTGGATGGTAATCATTTTAGACTTATTAGGAATGCAACATCTTTTATCCAGGCATATTCCACAAAAAGTGGGTTTGTAACTCTGAGTACTTAAGCACCCAGAAAAAAGAAATTTTTCAGCTTTGGAAAGTTGGAAGATAGGTTGGCATCTTTTTCCTTTAGGAATCTGAAAAGATACATAAAGTTAAAAAAAATCATTCTTTACAGTTGATTATAGTAATTTAGAAAAATATTATGTAAAACATTTTAATAACACCTTGTAACAATAAAATTATTTCTGAGACCCCAGCACTGAAAAAATAATTATTATTGCTGGGCATTAATATTAGTTGCTATTTAGGAACTTCCAGCACTCTTTCTTCTCTTCCTTTAAAACCCCCTCTCACCAGAAATCTGCCCTCCCTGTTCATACCATCACATTATGACACTCTCTTCAATGTTTCTTGCTGTCTGTTCTTTACTCAATTCCTCAATAAGTGGAATTTTCTTTAATAAAGACTATGGCATATATCTTAATTCATTTAAAATTGGGTTGTCAACTTGCTGATAAGATAGGGAATGTGTTGGTAATCAGAAGAATTTTAAAGAATTTCTAAAAATTACTCCTTTGAGACAGTTGTCTAGTTTAAGAAATAGGACCAGCCAGGTGTGGTGGCACACACCTGTAATCCCAGCAATTCCAGAGGCTGAGACACGAAGATCCGAAGCTCAAGGTCAGCGTCAGCAACTTAGCATGACTCTGTCTCAAAATAAAAAAATGGGCTGGGGATGTGGCTTAGCGGTAAAGCATACCTGGATTGGATGACCAGTGCCCCCTCCTCAAAAAAATGGGACCAGATCTAGTTATAACAACACAATCTTAGAGTAAATATTTTCTTACAGTCCTTTGACAGGTTTGCTATTTAGTAAGTACAGAGCATTTTGGAAATTGTGTGGTCTACTTCAAAGTTGGTGATATATAACTTAAGATCAGATTTCTTTACTTGATGGTCTTAATATCTGTTTAACCACAATTCTGTATTCATTACTTTGATTCCACTATGTAAAATTATTATGAAAAAGAAAAAAGAATGTAAGATCTACTCTTAGAGAACACTGTGTAGGGTTACCACAACAAATCAGGCTAATCAAGACCCACATTATTAAGATATTAGAATATTTAGGATCAAGAAGTTAGCATTACCTCTACTAGGTAAAACTTTGCCCCACAAAGTGTGATTAGTATTTTCCTCTGAGATAATTTAATTTTTGAGAGTTTCGATAAGATGATTTTGTTTTTATAACAAACTCTACCGCCAAAACACACACACATTATAACTTTCTAGGAATTTCTTAATATTGAATTATAATTAAATGAAATCTAATTAAACTTTACCTTTACTGTATGTGATATATTACTGTTGCATGGCTGAATATAACATAGTCTTTGCTCTTTTCTCATTTTACAGTTGCTATTTTCATTAGTGACCCTGTTAGATATTCCTATCCCACATGTTCTGGAGCAGGGAGTCCACTTTGTAGCTTGCACGAGACATTTTCTTTTCCAACTAAGTGGAAGATTCCTAAAAGCTAAAACAGAGAGAAAGTACATATGTATATATATTTATGAACTTGTGTAGACAGATAATTTTTAATCATTAAGCTAATAAAGATCTTTATGAATAATGTAACTCATAATCAAAGAAGCTTATGGTCTAATTCATTCTATTTCCCTTTTTCTTGCCACCCAAATTATGTTTTAATCAAGTATGATAGACCAATTTCTTAGAACGAATTAAAATTCTGTATCTTTAAAAAACGGAATAGCTTTACTTATTTATATCATTCTAGCTCATCCTGAGTGTTAAATCTAAACTTATGTTCTGATTGATACATACCATTTTGATTCTGCCTCAGGCTTGATATTATTCCAACAGATGTTGAAATAAATGTTGGTAGGATTAGAGAATTAAGATATTAATCAGAACAGTATCATGTTAAATTTTATGATATATTAAAATCCAAAATATAAAAGTTATATAAGTCATTGCGAATGTGTAATCTTTCAATCAGCTTCTTTGTCACATTCCCTATAGATCAGGCCCACAGTGCTTTCTCCTTGGGCTAGCCACTTCATATCATCTATGGAAACAATGGATCCATGGATGGGTCTGACGTGAGTAGACAGAGCCCCTCCACTGTCTAGTGCTTAAAAGAAACAGAAGGAAGAAAAGGTAAATGACTCTTCCATCTCCATGTAAATTCCTGGGAGATTGTTAGACTCATGAATGAGTCAGGTCCTTGGTTCATTTGAGCAAACTATGTGTTGGTTTATTGTCTCAAGGCATTTCCTTAAGATTAATATATATCCTCTATTGGATGCTTTGGGAGGAAGGTTGTAATTTGAGTCTGAGTTAAATATAGCAAAGTTCAGACTGTGTTACTTTAAAATATCAATTTAAAATTCAAAAGATCCAGGAAAAAAAAAATGCCTTCTTGATAGACAATATCAATCTCTCTGAAGTATGTGCTATATTTGTATAAAGTGATAACATAATACTGCTTTCAGTGTTATTACAGTAGGATCTTGCAGTGCTCATAGAGCTGAGAGGAAGCAGAAACATGAAGATATCTGGAAGGTAGACAGCAGTTTTAAAGACCTCAATGCAAAGCTGGGTAGGGTGGTTGCACACCTGTAATCCCAGCTGACCAGGAGGCCGAGGCAGGAAGATTATGAGTTTGAAACCCCATCTCAAAAAAAAAAAAAGAAAAGAAAGAAAGAAAAGACCTCAATTCAGGAAGCAGATTACAAGCTTGTCACACATCTGCAATAAATAAAAGTAGGTTAGATTATTGCATTACTAGTAACCCTGATTAACGTTAAATGAGCTGCAGTTTAGTAATTTAACATTCATTAAAATGCAGAAAAACTGGAGGAGATTTATAAAGTAAAAGCTTAGTGTTCGTGAGCATTGAGAAAATATAAAGTAAAAGCTTAGTGTTCATGAGCATTAAGAAAGGCATGACAGCATTAAATGTCATCTCATGCTTCTCACTGACCTAGCTAGCAACAGCTAGATTCCAACCATAAACTATATGTTACTATAACAAATATATCTCAAAGTGTGTGTTTTTGTCATGGTTAATTTTTAAAAGCCAAATTCTTACACATATCATAAATACATTTCCACAACTAAGCAAAAGAGAGACTGAACATATACTTCCCTTGAAATATAACTAGGCCCAACTCTCAAATGCCAGAGAGCATTTGGGGAGATTTTTCTCATTTTTTAGAGCAAAGCACTATCCACCAAAAATGACCAGGGGATGGCTCTACCAATCAGGCTCCAAGTGAATCCACTGAAATTGATCCAACTCTTCAAAGGAAACCAACTTGAACTTGATCCAAAGGGCTTTACTTATGAAAGACTGCTGCTCTGAGGTTCTGAGAATCTTCTGAGTCACTCAGATTCTGTGCAGAAAACCAACTGTTTCTGTACATTTTGCAAAAGGAATAATTTGGGGACTGATGGTATAGCTCTGTGGCAGAGTATACACTTAGCATGTACAAGGCCCTAGGTTCAATACCTAGCACCAAAATATATAAAGAAAAGGGAATAATGTGGCTTATTATTTTAGAGCATGAATTGTATCATGCTGTTGGCTAAATAATCGTGTGGTAAATACAAACTCACCACAATCTATAAATTTTTTTCAAATGAACTGACATAATCAGGGTCCCTGGGTATATTATTTTCATAGTTAGTTTTTTTGTTATTGTTTATCTTTTTTTTTTTTTTGTATTGAGGATTGAACCCAGGGATGCTTAACCACTGAGCCACATCCCCAGCTTTTTTTTATATTTTATTTAGAGACAGGGTCTCACTGAGTTGCTAAGTGCTTCACTAAATTGCTGTGGCTGGCTTTTAGAATACTTTTACCAGAATACACCTGCCTGAGGCAGAGACTACATCTCACGTTGATCACCCATTCATTCTGTACTTGTGATACACAAAAGGAACATGAAAGAAAGCCACCAAGTCATATATGAGAAATAGCTCTGTGTATAAGCACCTGGCATCGTCTTGAAGCTTGTTGAGAGCTGCCTTTGTAATGGTCCCACGCCACACTTGGACTGATCAGAATTCTTTCCATCTTTAGCTCTAGAGCACTGGCTGTCAGCCAGCTGGGGTATGAACAGAGGAGTGCATCCAATTGCCCCACTCACACAGAGGCAGCTAAACAGGGGGTTGGGCTGAAACACTTGGCCATTACGATAATGGACCCTGTTGAACTCACATCCAACAGCTACAAGGTCTGAAAAGAGAAAATTGTCAAGCCATAATTTGAGATAGTTGGACTTCCAATTATTCACCTTATAAGATGTAACTATCTCCTTCATGAAGTATAACTCTAGATTTTTTTTTAACAGCTCTAGATTTTTAAGGCCCCTTTGGAACCGCCTTCACAGAACATCTGTCTAAAGGTTAGAATGAGCATTTTCATCAGATTGTAGGTTTTAACCTACAAAGGGACATTATCAGAATTAAAAACAAATAAAAACTCTGTTCTGGAGAAAATATTTTTTTGTTTTTTGGGGGTTTTGTTGTTGTTTTGTGAGGTACTAGAGATCAAGCCCAGGGCCTTGCTCTTGCCAGTCAAGCACTGAAATTAATTTTTTAAAATCATAAGCAATGAGATGATTATAAACTGCAGAGGGAGGTTAATGCCAAGTGAGATGGAAATTTCCCCAGACATCCAACAGTAAAGCTAGAATATATTCTTAGGATATCAGGATAAGTGAATGTCAGAAGAAGTTATAATTTATTTATGATTTATTTAACTATAGTATGGCAAGGTAACTAATTGAAAGTTAGAGAGGAGATTTTTACTTCTTGAGTATATTCTTGGCCTTCTGGATCAACAATTCCCCAAGTGTGTTCTACTCCTTGGCAATAGCTGAGATGTTTTCAAGGAATCTGTGATCAAGAATTTTCAAAATACTATGGCAGGCTGGCACAGTAGAGTGTACCTGTAATCCCAGTGGCTTGGGAGGCTGAAGCAAGAAGATCATGAGCTCAAAGCCAGCCTCAGCAACTTAGTAAGGCCTTAAGAAACTCGGTGAGATCTGTCTCTAAATAAAATGTAAAAAAAATGGCTGGGGATGGAGCTCAGTGGTTAAGTACCACTGGTGGTTCCAATCTCCAGTACCCCCCAAAAAAGAAAACAAATATGGTATTAATGATACATGTTTTTCATTGTTGCTATTTGCATTGAACATAGAAAAACAATGGTTCTAAAACCCCTTGTACCTTATCATGATTCTAACTGTACATGTACTTGTATTTTTCCTTGGCATGCACTTGTGCTAAGAAAAAAAAAAAAAAGCCAGTTTTACCTAAGAATGTCCTTGATAACACAGTAAACTTGATAATTTTATTAAATGCTAACCATTGAGTACATGTCTATTTAATACTCTGTATGATAAAATCAGAAGTATACACGGGCCGTTCTGTGTACTAAAGTACATTGGCCATCATAAGAAAAAGCACCCATGCTATTATTCAAATTGTGGCATGGGCTATCTAATTTTTTTAGTGTGAATTTTACTTGCTTGAAGAAATAATTTTCAGATAATCTATGGTTATTCAGATTTGGGTATTTTGGAGACATTTTCTTGAAAATGAACAGAGTAATCCTGCGCTTCAAAAAAAAAAAAACAATTGACAACATTGGTTGCAACTATAGAATTCAAGCTTTAAAGAAAAAATTAGAATTTTGGAAAATATCTACCACTGAGCTCTATTGCTACCCAATATTTTCTGAAGAGAGTAATATCAATGGGCTTTTTAAAATAGTATATAATGAAATCTAGTTTGAACATCTACATAATACAATAAACCAATGCATGGGATGACAAATTTATGCATGAGCAAAAGACCCATTCCAAGTGGGTCTTGGATATTTTAATGTCATCAAATTGAAAGGTTTTTAATGTACTTTCAGATTTTATGATGCTGCTAATTTTTAATGGACTACCACTTACCACATTTAATATAATATTTTTAAATACATTCATAATTATTTGAAGTGTTTACTAAAATATTTCTTGCTTTTCTGATTATATATCTATGTGAAGTCATATTTTCTTTTTTCAACCAGAAAAATAACTGCTTGGCAGAAGCAGATGTGAGAATCTAGCTTTCTTCTATTAAGCTAGATATCAGAGAGATTTGCAAAAATGTAAAATCATGCCATTCTCTTCACTAAATTTTTCTGTCATAGAAAATATTTTTTCATCAAAATATATCATTCCTATTAATTTGCAACAGGTTTGTTATGTTTAAATCAATTTTTAAAAATTCCTAATCCATTAAATACCAGTAGATAAAATCCATATAAACAAAAGTTTTTTAGATCCTTATTAATTTCTAAGACAGTAACTTTTTTAAAATCACTGTTATGGGTCAGAAAGCAACAAATTTTCTCTAAAGGGCTAAACAATAAGTATATTAGCCTTTGCAGGCGATATAGTCTCTGTACTACTCTGTCATTGTAAAGTAACCACAGATTCTATGTAAATGAATGAGCTGTGTTCCAACAAAACATAGTTTACCGATATAGTGAGCTGTGAGCTAGATTTGGCCTCTGGGCAATAATTTATGATCCCCAGTTATACATTATCCCCATTCCCATCCTCATGTTTACTGGTAAAGACATCACATTTTAGGTGACATTACTTGTAGAAAAATCTGATACAATAAACTTTGGTTCTGTGAGGGGAAGGCCCATATCTCTTTTTTCCTCTGTTGTATTCTGACTTACTGGCCACAATTCCTGGCTCAGTAGAGGATGCTAAGTGTTGATTAGATTACTGAAATAACCTGCCCAGTTTGGGAGAAAAGAGTATTCTGAATGCCAAGATCTTTGATAGGTCATGGTTTCTCTGCAGAATTTCCATAAATAAGAAATACTTTTGAAATTCTACTGCATACCAGATACTGTGCTAGGTGTTTTAGGTTTTATGTCATTTATTTCATCTTCCCAGACAGCTCTATAAACAATGAAGTACATGTAATGTAACTGAGGCACAGAGAGATTAATCAACATGATTAGGGGTCACTCTGTTAGAAAACCAGGATTGAAATCCAGATCTCTCGTTCTTAATACAATATGGTGCTGACAAGGGTGTCAGTTATTAGACTTGATGGTCTCTTCATAGTCTGACTCCAAA